AGCCAGGAAGCCACGAAGCCGGGACCCGAAAGCTAGGCTTGCCCTGGTTTTGTGCTTGATCATTTTGTATTGCTAATTGTTCCTTGTGTATTTTGGTTTGACCATATTTCATATATAGTTTGTTGATCCCTATCCCGCATTTGTCAAGTTGTAAGCAGGGCTAGGGCCGTTAGGGTTGCTTGGAGAGTGACTGTACATCGAAATCCTCCCTCGGAAGTTGCCAGGCATGCCAAGATGCGACACCTGAAACGGCAGTTGTGGGATGCTCCAGCTGTAGACCCCCTCGGGCCCAAAGTATCGGAGGGGTTCGGAGGTTCCAAGGCTCGGCTCAAGCTCTGCTCTGCGTCAAAGGCGGCCTCCTACATCCCGCAATCCTAAGCCCTTAAGTAGGAAAGAAAGCCAGAAGGTTCGTTTGTTGGGGGTGACAACGTGCTTGGAGAGGAGTTGATGCAACACGATACCCATCGATTGATTTTGCTTGGGACATGGCAGCATTCATACCAAGGGCGACTTCTGAAACATTCATTTCATGGGCTCAGCTTTTGGAAATCAACGTTATCAATAGCAATATCGCACTGATCCGCTACAAAGCATGGAGAGAAAAAAACGCATAGCGCCAAATCCTTGTCATCCCCCGTTTGAGCGCACCAAGGACACAAAGACTCAGAAGGAACGGCCGATAAGCGCAGGCCCAGACCGTAAGGGTCCAACCAACTTCAAAATTCATTAAACATCCGCTCAGGGGTAGACGGGCCCCTCTAACCCCTCAACCTTCATGAGCGCCACAAGCCCTGAAGCAACTTAAGCGCGTCATCACAATCAATTGTTCGAATGAGCAGAACCACAACTATTCCATGATAGTCCACTTCAGGGGCCTTAGGAACGCTAGGAGCCTTAGGAACCTTGCCTGCGTTTCAAGGCAGTGCTCGGCACCGAGACACCAGGAGGGCCTGACAAGCGAGTTGACTGTGCGGGTTTCTTGAGGACTTCTTGGCGCCATGGTCCGGGGCAACATTTCCACATTGGCCCCTTGTCTTAATGTGTTCGGGTCCCTTGACTACCAAGCCCTTTGACCTCAGAGATGAAAGCTTTGATTTATGCCCGTATTAACCCCAGCATAGGGCCGGGTAGGGCAGGCTAAGGTAGGGTAAGGTAGGGTTGGGTAGGGTAGCCTCCCCCTCAAGATTTGCGCAATCAAGTGCTCCACCCTTCAGCTAGAGGCTCCATCCACAAACGCGCCAACGGTGTAAGCCACCCAAACCCGAATCGCCAAACTCTAAACAATGTGCAGGATAGCACTACATAATTTTGTGCAGTTTCGAACCATCTCGGACATGCATAGAATGGCTGCCCTGCGTAGCGCTTCTCGAATCTCTGGTTTGCTGCTGGAGTGTGAACGAGGATGCGCCGTGTCGTGTGGCTCTCTCCCGCTCCTTCGACGTAAACTGCAAACCGTTTCCATTCAAAGCTCAGACGTCCCATCATCTTGGTTCAAAGAAGTAAATGCTGGAAAGGCGCCGTGCGTGTCATAATAAACCTAACTGCACATCTGCGACTGGCACTTCACAGCAGGCTCTAAACTTAACCCACAGGTGAATCACCAATCAAGACCTCAGAAACCCTGCAGCAGCAAAGAAGAGATAACTCCCCTCAAGTATGAGCGGGCACCGAAAAAACAGGGCTTTGCTGGACACCTCTCGAAGATGGCAAGAGCCAGGAAGGCATACTTCAACAGCCTCCAAAAGATGAAGTGAATGGTGTTAGATGGAGGTTGAAGTTGAAAAGCTGGATAAAACCTGGCCTTTGTCACATTGTGAGGTGTGCTTCATAATGGGGGGGGGAAGGGGCGCTTTGGACTTACTTAGTTGAATTCGGGCATTCCTTGCACATTTCAAAAACAACAAAAGAGCCCCAGTCAGCAAGAATGAGGTTTTCTTCACGATGTTAACCGTTCTCACGCGCATCTCTATGTTTGGCCAGTACGAAATTTAAGCTCGTGAGCACAAGCAGTACTGTACAGGATCATGGCAATCGAGGAAGCATCTATAAGGTTAGGGTGGGGCTTTTTTCCGACATGAACTAGTTTTGTGCGACCACTTCACTGGCGAATCAGCCTTTGGAGCTCTGGGTTCCCCTTTGGGGCGAATCTGCAGACACGAGACGACAAGATTATAGAAATTCTATTTTTCAAGTGTTTGGCCTTCTGCACTTTCGAGCCTCCCACGATTCTGAAAACATCCCGACATCCTTCGTCAGCCCTGCGCCCTTCCTAAGAACTGCGATCAAGAAAACTCAAGATGGACTGCACCAGTGCAGTGCGTAGGCCATATTCGTCGCCGTAATTCTCAAATGTGCACTGCATTGCACTATGCTGGACACAGTGACAAAGCGGCACTTATCCCAGACTCAGCTAAGACCGCATTCAAGGCGCTCCTTTCCGAAACCCCACAGGCTCGGCTAAGTAAAAACTTGCACCGAGGGCCCACTGCTCCCAAGAATCATTCATACCCAGAAGAATTGAAGAATCCATCCAACATGTACCCTCAATCTGGACTGAGAATAGTAACTTGCCAGATTGCGCTCAGGGACACGGTAACCGGCTTCAGCTTTTTCCGGAAGTTGTAGTAGCCCAGCTGCTTCATTGACGCAAGGTGTACCCACTGGCTGCTGCCTAATCGGCGCAGTGCGTGACACCAGCATGCACATGCGACGAGTCTGACGAGTCACTCCAAAAGCAAATACACAAACAACTCTAACCGTGATATGATGCCTCTCGGCTTCATTCGCAACGGCGCCAAGGTTGGATCAACTCAAAGCCCCCAAAAATCCCGAGAACCCACGAAGCAGAGCAAAGAACTTCAGGAATCCCGAGGTTTTCCGGTCTCTGTGCCGGTCTCTGTGTGTGTCCCTGCGTCCGTGTGTCCGTGTGTGGGTGTGCGCGAGTGTGTCAGGTCTAAGACTCCACAAGTGGCGGGGCTTCAAGACTGGGGCTTGGGAGACAAAGGGCCTGGAAAGCCGGCTCTGTCGATGGGCGGTAGGATGGAAAGAGTATGCTGAGCCCTAATGCCGAAAAGACTCCCATCCAAGTACCCTAGCAGCCCCTCACCGAATCCCTGTAGCAATTAAATGGATACCGGTGGGCCTGAGCTCAAAAACTTGAAAACCCGAGAGCCCAAGCCCACAAACCCCAAAAAGCCTCACCACCCAAGCCTGGCAATCCTGAAGCCCTAAAAACCAACTAAAGCAAAACACTCAATCATTCGGCCTTTGGCGGCCTTGTTCACCCAAATGACTGCAAGCTCCACGGACGAGGCCATGTGCCTTGGCCACTTAATCCCGCATGGGCGAGAGTCGGAGAGTCATAGACATTAACCATCATTGACCAGTCATAGTTAATTCACTCGGAAAGCCCCCATCACATTCCGTGATGCTTTTTCCCGAGCCCAGGAAAACACCCGTGCAATGACATGCATACCGCTCTCAGTCCTCGTCCACATTAGAAGCTCAAGGAACTCTAAAGTTGGCCAAAGCACGCGCCGCTGAGCGATAGACTCTGCTCCGATCGCGAGCCTTCGCCAACAATTTCGGGCGCCGCAGTGCTGAAACTTACCTGGGCGTGTACTGTGCCGGAAGGGCCGCTAGCTGGGCTGGTTGTTGGACCCTGTGCTTGCTTCTCCTTGAAGGCATTCGATGCATCGAGGCACACCCCGGAAACCCAAAACAAGCCCAAAGGCCTGAAAGCTCTGTGTTCATGCCAAAATGCCTTGAATCATTGAAGCTCTGACAACCCCACCTTGAAATCCTACAACCAAACAATGCTGAAGCAATGAAGGCCAAACAAACGCTTGAAACCCTACAACCTTTGCCTGATGGTCTCTTCCTCTGGTGGTGTCTGTACTTGATTGGGGATATTCCAGCATGCATGCACTTTACTTTAAGTTCTGAGCTCTCACGGTCCAGAGATGGTCAGATTGTTCTGGGGGCGACAAGACGGTCAGATTTCAACATCACCTGGATGCCACAGGTCAAACTAATTTGTTCTCTAGCCACTCTAGCCGTTATAGTTGTGCTCCTCTTGTCGTGATAGGTAACTTATCCATGCTGCTCTTCGGAAAGCAGCGCGAGGCATGCCTTCCTCTGTCGGCTTTGGAGATCCAGCGAGAGCCATGGCTTAAGCTGTTCAGCAGTTTCGCCGCAGTGGATGGAGGATAGGACTTAGCCCTAGATTCTTGTATTCTTGTCTGAGGATGGGATGTTTGGCTACCTTTTGACGAAACGAGAAGACAATACTTGGACTCATGCTAGGGGGGTGCAAAGAGTGAGCTAGCTTCAAGCCAGCATGCGTGGGCTGCCAATGCCTTTGTACGGGGCGTGTTAGCTGTTAGCCATTCGTGCGTTTGTTGTTCGTCTTTCCAAAACATATACAAACAAGCAGGGAACTGTCACCGCTTTGGTTCTTAGGGTGCTCATGGTTCCCAGCCCTTGCCAGGCCCCTTGCTGCTGAAGCTTTGCGGGTTTCGAACAGATGCTGCTGACGTGGCTATGTGGCTGGGAGGCCTTCGCATTCACACCGCACTACCTCATCCCAGCTCCTCTACTACCACTCCACTACTGCGCCGACAACTACTACAATATGACTACAGTACTACAACTCACGACCACGACGACGACTGTACTGCTACTTCTCCGCTTCCTACTACTGCTACTGCTACTGCTACTGCTACTGCTACTGCTACTGCTACTGCTACTGCTACTGCTACTGCTACTGCTACTGCTACTCCTACTGCTACTGCTAACACCAACAGCAGCAACAAGCAACCGGCAACAGGCATGATGACGACGACTACTACTTTTACGGCGACTACTGCCACTTTTGCAGCTGAACATTGGAACCCACATGATTCCCCGCTTCGCACCCCACACAACTTGGTGCAACTTCAGTTTAGCACTGAGGGATTTAGATTTAGGTTCAGGGGGCCCGATCTCGGGAGCGCGGGTGCCTTCCCCCGGATGTGCCGCAGCTGAAAGCCATCAAGGGCTTGTGACAGAGGCACCTGGAAGTCAGGCCCAGAGTAGTAGGGCTGAAGGGCTGAGAGGTGTTTGGCCTGGATGGATCGACCGGCTTAGGCTTCTGCATGCGGTCTTAGTAGCTGGAGCAACGGAGTTCACCCAGAATACACAAGCCCGCCTTATGGGAGGACCAGAGCGAGATAAGATGAGCCTTTGATCTTCGCCAAACTTAAGAAGACCCGTGCGAAAGAGAGAGAGAGAGGGAGAGAGAGACAGAGGGAGACAGAGAGTAAGCGCAGACGCCTGCAAGGATTCCAGGTGCTCCTGGTCGCAGAGACCCCGGAGGATGCCAGGAGTGTATTCGTAGTAGTCCTGCAGGTCGTTTGTGGAAGCGAAGCTGTGCCCCGAAGACGGCTCAGGGTCTACCACTATCCAGAAACCCGTGGTAGATCCGTCGGCTTAGAAGTGCAACATCTCAAGTGCAAGCCCAGACAGCTTAGTGGAGCACAGGATCCGTGGGTGCCATGGCTATGACTTCAGAGCCTTCTGGAAAGTGGAGCATGGAGCATAATTACATGACGCAACTCAAGCAACCCAAATCTGCAGCCGAGGCAAAGAAACAACAAAAAGAGGAGGTTGCAGTGAACAGCAAAATCCGTTTGCAAGGCAGGAGGTTCAAGGCTAGCTCGGCAGGTGTTGCTGTAATCAACACGCAGTTCGACTCACTCAAGTCGAGGAGTACGCGAGTGGACGTAACACTTCCTCCCTATCTTCATTCATCTGCCACTGCTAGCACCCCATAGGAAGCTTGGTCGCAGAGCACTTCATCAGTGCTGCGCTATTCGGGCTGCCACCCAGAAACATCTGAAGTCAGCACAGCAAGTAAGATTCAGTATGATGGTACACATGCCCCAACAACATCAACCACCTACCCAGGCGGGGTACGTCCAAGCACTCCAACCAAGAACCACCACAGGCCTTCGGCTCGACAAGCGTCAGGTCAAACTCCGACCACCTGGGTCGGAGTGTATGATCTCAGGATTAGGTAGCGCAACGAACTCTAGCACATGTGAAGCTTGCTTTTCTGCTGTTTCATGGTTCAGGGTTCAGCACGGCCAGACCCCCTTCAAGTTGTCTGTGGGTCGTTTCGGCCATTTACAAAGAGCTTTGTGGTTAGCGGGGAAATTTGCAGCGTGAAATGCATGGGGCACACAACGATCACCCCTTGTGCTACAGCATGTAGAACATGCAGCCGCGAATTGACAAACGGCTGACCCTGGAACTCCGGTAACTCCGGTGCAGCAAGCTGTGAAGTTTCGAAGTTCAGTGGTCCCATGTAGTCCAACTCCATGAGGCCTCGACCGAAGGCTACCGAAGCCTAAGCCACAGTACATACTAGAAGATAAAACCGAAACCAATAATGCCACAAGCCTAGACTCTAGACCCATCCAAAAGGGTAAGACCTTCAAAGGCCATGTAGTTCCGAGCCTGCTTTGAGGCAACACTCCATTTCCACATCCGCACAACCCAAAATCCAAATCCTCAATCGTGTACAGGTGCCCAAATTTTGTAGAACTTGCAAGAGCCTGTAGAACCCGATTCTTTGTCGTGCAAAGAAAGCATTCTGGAACGGACGACCAAAGTTGAGGCGCAAGTTGCGGACGATTTGAATCCCCGCGGGACCACACCTGGGCTCGGACAGCACATCTCGCATCGCGTTGTGCTGCATAAGCACTTCGGGACTGAGAGACTTTCTAGGCACAGGGCTCAGGGTCGAGGCAAACCCCAGCGCTTGGCACCCTCATGTTGACCCGGCTCCTTGCGCTGGCACGTTCGCCATGGTTTTGTCATTGAGCTGCGGCCATTTTGGGACCCGCAGAAGCCTGAAAGCCTTCAAACTCCTCAAACCTAGTGCCGGAGCCCAAAACTCGAAGCCCAGAAGCCCGATCACCAGCAGCCTTGGTCTCTCCACCGGCTCTTTGTCCTGTGCCGATACAGGATGGGCTTTGGAGGCCTGACATACTTTCTAATTTTTCGGCTGTTTGTGGTTTCAGTTTGTCATGCGGCTCTTGTGGCCCGAAGGCATCCCAGTTCTGCTGTGTGACCCAGGCTGGGCATTTGGGAATTAGGGGAATTCGCATACTGGAGATTGGGTTTTAGAGCGCATGGTGGGGAGCATCGTGCATTATCTGAGAGGGGGTGGGGCACACTTACACTTACGCTTACACTCTTACTCTTACACTTACACTCACACTTACACTCACACTTACACTTATGCTTGCGCTTGCGCTTGCGCTTGCGCTTGCACTTGCAATCACACTTACACATGTACCTTTAATTAAGTCAGACGAAGCTAAAGCCCAGTCTAGCGACTGCACACAAGCTTCACAAGCATGCCCTGACAAACGAGGCAACTTTTCTATCAACATCTTCTATTTCTATCAGCATCTGCACATGGGGCGCGAGCTGCCTGGAACCAGCCCATGGGGTTGAACAGTCGACCTGTGCACGGCTTGCTTTTAGACTCCTGAGGACTGAGCTACGACCACCACATGTTCTCGCCCGTCAAAAGCCCAACTTCCCGCCTGTTGGTCAAAGAAGTACGAAAATCACCACTGGCGAAAAGCTTAATCACAAGCCCACAATCCTGTCTGCTGCTTTTTCACAAACTAGGCCGCACCTTGCCCAGTAATGCTGAACCCTGTCTACAACCTCGAGCCTTGAAGAGCTTCAGGATCGAAGCCTATAGCATGACCCTAGAAATGGCCACTACAGGCTTACAAGGACTTTTTCAGGCATCTCGGAAAACTGTGTGGTGGTTTCAGGTTTAGGGCTCAGATGCCCGAACATCATCTGACTGAATTCGAACCCCCTCAAGCCTAACCAGGGCCTAACCAGACCCCATCCTAAATCCCTCAAGCTCAAGAACCAAAAGCCTAAACCTCTCAGGCCGCAAAACCTAGACCCCAATGCCTTAGCCCACCAAGCCCAAGCTCCAAAAGAACCTAAGCTCCGGAACAGCAAAACGTAACCAGATGACTAGGTGATTCGAATCCGGCAAGAGGCAGCTCCCGCCACGAAGCGGCATGAAGCTCCAGCGGACGCGCTTAAGTTGAGGATTCTGGAGCTGTCGTGTTGTGAGCGTGTAGCGTGGTGTGGCGCATACAAACCAGCATACGGTTTGGGACTAGTGGGCTTTGGGGGATGGTGTTGAAAGTAGGTCCTGAGTAGGTCTTGGTGTGTTGATGATCTGTAGGAAGACCCGCTTGGAAAGCGAGGCCCTGCTGCGAAGCCAACTAGTGGCTAAGCGGCGATGATTACCCAGAAAGCTAGAGAGGCTTCGGTGCATTGAAAGGCTTCGGGTCCATGTCAAATGAAGAAGTATCGGTCCGTTTTTGGGGTAAAATCTTTACACTTCATATGAAGTACTGCTGTTAGCACCCCGACGCCAACCGACGATGGCTTACAACATGGCATCCTCACACCCTGCACACCAATAATACCTCGAACTCCGGAACAAGGGTCGACGTCCCACCAGATCCATAACAAAGGGGCTTTACAACGGACTGGGAATGTGGTCATTGTCGGGCTTGGTCGCCAGCAAAGGTGAATCGGGAACCATTACGGAGAAGAACCGAAACCAGACCAGTTATCTTTCACAGCCAAAGAAAATCAACAACGCAGAGGAACAAGTGGAACAATACCCATCCCCGAATAAGCCTCGAATAGAACCAGAAGTCTAAAGTTATGACAACCCAGAGACAAACCACTGCAAAAGCCCTCAGAGCCCCGAGCTACTACCATCAACGATATCATCACAAGCCATGGGGTCTGTATGGGTCTGTAGACCCACAGGTCCAACAGCCATGAAAGCTCGACAGCGCAAAACACACTCAGCCGGGCGCCGAGTCTTTGGAGCCTCGGTGGCGAGCTCCGAGGCACCGAGCAGCGCCGAGCCCACAAAGAGGCGCTGGCCTTGGCTGAGCTCCGTTTCTGTACCAAGGCTGAAGTGTCGTAGATGTCGTAGGGTTTCGCATATGGCCTCATGGCCACCCATGTTGATCTGAAAGTTTGTGCCTGCTATTCGCATCTGCTGCGATGGCGTCATCTTTAAGGCCTCCTGTTGGTTCAGGCTAATCAGCATGCAAACAAAATGGGCGCTGACCAGCAGGCCATGGGTCAAGAAAGGCTGGCAACCAGGTCACAGACTACGCAATGGTGCGCAAGATCTCTGACTCTCGTGCGTTTGGGTCAGGGGTTGGGATTTGTACTTTAGGACACTTGCAACATTGGGATTTAGCACTTGAGCAGGCGATTGGCCGCTGCACACTTGAGGGTGCGATTGGCCGCTGCGGACACTGGGTGAGTTTTACTTAAGCCTGCCACAGCTTGTGATGTGTTCTTTCATGCCCAGGTAGCATGTGGCAGCTCGAAAAAAGTGTCGGTAAATCAGCCCTTGGAACTTCCTAAAACATAGTCCCTACTGGCCCGCATGTTTGCAGGGATGTTTAAAGTTTAAAACAAACGCCCTGAACAACCGCCCCGCTTAAGCCTGACAACCGTTCGCCTTCCAGCCGTATCCTTAAGCCCCAATGCCCCAACGGTGAAAGTCCAACATTCTGAAACCCTGAAACCTAGAAACCTCCGAGGCACTTTTCTAAGCAGTTTCACATCAACCTTTCGGTTGTTCTACATGACCAAGCGATACTTGGTCATGGGCAGCGGAGAAGTCTTAAACACCTATGCAGCCCTTCAAGTTCTGGCAAGCAACAGCGCAAAGCGTCTTAAAACACGCCATATGTACAAACTCAGAAAAACAATGATTTCTGTCTGATACATAGATACTGCAGGTGAAATCGTTTTGACGCTGGTGAAATCATCTTGGGGCTTCAGGGCACCGCTCAAAGATCCCAGACTCAAGTCTTACCTTGCCTCAAGTGAATCTGAGCCCCAAAATCCCCTGAACCATGAACCCCGAATGGAATCCCTGCCGTAGTAGCGCTTAACCCTAAATCCGCATCCAAAGCAAGGATTGATGCGAGCCGTGATCTCCAAAGCTTGGCCTGACTCAAGAACACCTACAAGTATGATTTTCAAGTTTTGGAAGCGGGGTTTCAAGTTTTACGGTTTAGGGCATCGGGGCTACAACAGCGAAACGCCATAGTAAGGTCCTTGCCACCAGGCAGGTGGACGATGTCGAGACCTGCAGTGGGCACCCTGGATTTTCGCGATGTGACTCGAAGAGCTTCAGGGCATAGAGCCGTACAGCCGTACTACCAAGTTGCATCACTGGACGTCACGCTCGGAATTCTTGATTGTTGCGCTGCGAAAACAAAAGCCTGGGGTGGGGGTTCCTGCTCGCGTCACGTGCGTTTTGAAGGGTTTTTAGGATTTCGTGTGCCGGAGATGTGGTAGGGATGCACTTTCCTCCAGGATGGTTTGGCCTCGTGCGTCCTTTCTTGTTGCACATGGTGCTCTGGCCACGGTCCCATGCGTGATGTGCAGAACTGCCATCACTTTTGGCCCCTGAAACGCTCTTGAAGTGCTCTTGCATGGGTTTTCTGGGGTTATCTAGGAGTGGTCTTCGGGATTGCTTCCGAAATGGCTTTACACGGTGTCGGCATAATGGCTCTAATAAGCCTAAATACCTCAGTCAAGAAACAAAGTTTGAAACTAATAGCTAGGTTGAAACTTCGATCTACCTTAGCGACCCCTCACAGTCTCTGCGTTGCTCGACGGCGCACATCGATCGATGCACGATGCGTGCTGGCATGAGGCCAACGTGCGACAACGACATAGACATTCTGCATGTCTCCTCACGCAGCATAGTTCGGAAGCACCGACCCACATCAGTCATCTTTCTTGCGGCGCTGCGTTTGCCAGTATGCAGCGACCGTATATAGGCCAATACGCGGCAACAATATAGTCATGAGCGCCTTCGTCTTCCATGTTCTACAGCCCGTCCGGCCGGCCGTTTGCAGGACGTGGTTACGCGCACGCAGACTTCCACGCGCTGTTGGCTGTATTCCAAGACGTAGTGCAGCCTCGCATGCACGCATGCACGCAGACTTCCTTGCGTTATTGGCTCTCCTCGGCGCCCTCTACTGCCGTGGCAATGGGCCCCGGCCAAGGCGGGTCGCACAGCGCGAAACTTGAACGAGTGTCCCTTCAACTTGTAAACTCGCATGTGTCTGACTAGCCTAACTAGTAAAACCAACCCCCACCTCCCCTAACAGACATGACAATGAATTAAAGAAGTGTTCTTCCCACAAATGAGCCCAAGCAGTTTAAAGTCTAATTCAAGTTCATCTATTCACTAAGCAAGTACTTCTCGGCGTTGGGGAGCAGTGCCTTCGACTTGTGATCACCATACTTCTACGAGACTATGGAAGAGTGTACAATTCAAGTGTGGCCTCAGTTGGGGCAAGGTCACTGTCACCCCTCCAGTTGCACGGCCTCCTGTATGCATACCCACGGTGAGCTCAATCGCGGGATCCTCGCGAAAAGTCAAGACGATTGGTGGGCTTGGAAACCAAGCGCTTCGGCCTCAACCTAGGAGCTCGCCTCAAGCAGTTTCGCTAGTGCACCAATTGCAATTTAGACCTCTGCGCAGAACGCCTGAATCTTTCTCTTTGAATCCCTCGACTTGAGGGTGTCTGGACTTCAGGAGCAGAACCAAAGAAGCCCAATGAATCAAACTCCGAATCTCACGTCAACAGTTGAATGTTCTGCTCCATTCCCATGCTCTTCGCCCCAAGCCCCGTGTCTCATCCCGACACATTGGAAACCTGACATCGGCAATTTCGGGAGCCCCTCCTGCAGAGGGTTGCATGTGGAGGGGCTTGAAGGTTAGACTTCATGCGCTGAGACCCAAACAAAGCAACTCCAAACCAAAAGCCGGTGCAGCCTCTCGGGTAAAGGTCAAGCCACGTTAACTGACCAGCCGGGGCTTTGAAGCTGCTGCGACCCAGCATGTTCAAGTCAGAAAGTTTCCTGATTTTCGAATTCTGAGCGTGGGCCTGGAGCTGCAATTTATAAAGCCCCAAACTCTAGCCTGATACCATTACCTTAAACTTAAAACTGGAACACTCTAGTCTGGAATCAGCATGTGCTCGCTCTCTCGACTCCAAGGCCTGGCTGGAGCACCATCCGCATAGCCTGGCAGAGCTTCCACAGCTTCCACAGCTTCCACAGCTTCCACAGCTTCCACTTCGCTGTGATTCGCAAGTAGCTGCGCAAAAAGCCGGAAGCACAGCTGCCCAAGCCGCAGTGCCACATCCTCTGCACTGATCGCCAGATGCCTTGCAGCTTCTCCTTAAAGAAGGTATATAACCTGCGTTCTGATTCTGCATTTCGTAGCTGTGAATTTCTTTCTCTCGGCTCATAAATTCCAATAGTTCAACGGCAAGCCCGCCTACTCTATGTCGCTTTCTCATTGGTTCAATAGAAGCCTCCCCTACTACATGCTCTTTCAGTTTCAAGAAGCTACATTTCCTCTATACTCAACGTGGTGATGTACCCCAGGGCAAGCAGCGGCTTTGCACTGCGCTCGTACGACGGCTTGGGAAAGATTCACATGTTTGTTGAAGCCATTCCTCTTGATGCCCTAAACCCTAAACACTCGGTGTGAAAAGAAATTTCGGATGGGCGGTTTCAACTATTTGCGTTTGTATTGGCATTTACCAGTGATGTAATCGCTCTTCTTCAGCACCTTCAATTGTTCCATCGGGCTTCTTGAACTAGAGCCAAGAAAGGCCGCAGGGCTGAAACCAACAAAACAGCTGGGGTGCGGGGTGTGGGGGTGGGAGCGTGGGGCGATGTGGGGAACTCGGTGAACCCAATGCTCGCAGATCTCTCCCGCACTTTTCATTTCTGCCCTTGTTTGTTTCTTCCTCTCGTTTGTGCTGTGCTGCCCATGTTTCGTTCTTGCGTGTGTCCTTCCTTGCTTTCGTGCTGATTTTTTTGCTTTTTCTTCTGATTTTGTTTCTGTCATTCGTTTTTGCGTTCTTTCTTCTCTTGTTCTGTCCTGCACGTCATTCTACTTCTAGAGTCTCCCTTGGTAAATCACTTGTAAATCACTTTACCTCCCCCGGACAAAGGTCAAAACGCAGGAGCAACCAGTCCAAAACAAATACGGGGCGGGCAGGCAGTGGCGGTTATGTAAGGGGTGCCCAAATCGCAGAGTGACAAGAAGCCATAAGCCCTAACCCCGAAAAGCAAATTCCTAATCCCCTGCAGCCCTCATGGAAAGCCCCAGCCTCGGCTCTGCAGCACTCAATAGCTTTCGACACAGGCTAATCTCCATACTCCTTACACATCTCCTTACGTTCGAACTTTTGAGGCCTGGAGTCTTTGCATTGAAGCGCCCCGGCTGTGGCGGAGACCTGGCCATCAGATTTGAGGTTGGGGCCCAGATGTCGTGGGTGTGCGCCAAAGCCATGGAACCCCCAACATCTTGCAAAGGTGACATCAATCCCATCAACAAGCCGAATCGCAGCGGATGGGACATTCCGAGAAAGGTCTGCTCCGCACCAAGTCGAAACCGAAGAGCCCAGGTGTCAGCACGAACGCAAAACTAGACAAGAAGACGAAGACCTCCACCCTTCACCCCACCTCGATCTGCACAGCCCCTACGAGCTCGCGGAAAGACGCGATCTGGGAACATGGCAGACATCCATGTGAACAGGGTAGGATTTCGGGGCTTTGTGCTGGACAACGCTTACAAAATCTCATTCGGCAGCAAAAAGATTCGTGCTCAGGACTTCAGGATGCTAAAGGCCGGTTTGGTTTGGAGTTGTTGGGTGCTCAGGACTCGAGGCCGTTTGTTTCAGGATGCTGGAGGCCGGTTTGGCTTCGAGTTGTTTGGGTGGCCAATCGGGAGGAGGCGGTTATGTTGTTGTGAAGAGTGGTCCACGACAGATTGTATCGACCGTGGCGCATGTTGCCAACGATGCCAAGTATGTGAGAGACCCACAACCTACTCTACTAGAGGTGAGATCCCGCCCGTCCGGCAATCCATAAGTGTTGCTGAGAAGTCTGTCTCAGATCGACCCTGACGAGTTGTCACAAGGGAAACTTCCTAACTTGGTACCCCTAACTCCAATCCCAAAGCTGTTTAAACCCAACACTGTCCCAACACCCTCAACTGCGCTCCGCCGTTGTTCTGCAGGACATGTCAGGAACACATGGGAAGCTCACAAAAAAGACCAAAACTGGAGCATGCTCGTGGGTCCATTAACAAAACAAGTCCGTTTCGCATCACGTTCAAGTAATTTGCGATGCCAGTTGCAGTTATTTACCTTCCAAGTTGACGTCGTTTTGGCGCTCTACCTTCGTGGTCATACGGATGTAGCATGATCCTGGAAGCACGGAAGAAGTTCGGAAAAGAAGCGTGCACTGGTCAGTGGTCAAATGTCTCCCTACACTCAAGCCGCTGCCGGGAAGGTCGGAGACCTGTCAGCACTAGCGGCAGCTTCTGCCGTGTTCTCGGTGTTGCCGGGACGCTGCTGTACGCTGATAAGCACCGGTTGCAGCTCACTGTGTGCACGCAGGAAGTGTGACAAGCGCAGCCATGCCATGTTCTTGTTCAACCGGCAGCCGAACAATGTGAAAGCCCTTGCAAATTTCAGCCTGCATACGCTGGCAGCCGCACTTCTTAGATGCAGAAGCGTGCTTTGGGGCTCACGAGTTTTCGCGCGTCGCTGAAAGCTTCGGCATCTGAGGCTCAAGCAGCGCAACAACAATCACCCTCAAGTAGAGGCTCTGTGCAAAGACTAACCCCGAAACCAACCTCTACAGTCCCTGCAAAGATCACCGTGCAATCCTTCGGTTCTGCTTTCAAGGCCAAGTCCAAGCCTCAATGTGCAGAGCTCGCAGCTGCTCCTTGCGGATGCTGGCCTTCTCAAAGCTCGAGATTCAGTTGTTTCAGGTCTCAACTTGGGCTCCCCTGCACGGTCTTTCCTACTCCTACAATCTCGAGATTCCTCATGTTTTGACTCGCTGGCGCAAACCCACACCTCAACACAGGCTTGTAGCGGCTGTGATAGTAAACAATGCAGTAGACAATGCACCTCAAGCCCCTCAAGCCCCAAAGTTCCTTGAGCCCTGACCTCCAAATCGGGATTCTCGAGACTTTGTTCTGGCTGCCTCAACACCCCGCACGAGACCTGTGCAGAAGCCTGTCACTCAAGATCTGGCAAGAAGTCCTGGCACCTGATAACTAAACACCAAGCCCTCTGCTCATCCGTGGAAGCTTGAAGCTTTAACCAAGGAAAGGAGGACAGTGACAGCTGCCTGGGTAGCTTTTGGCAGCCTCCAAGCGAGACAGCAACAAACTCCTGGCCAAAGTGTGGGTCCAGGAGGCCTCAGAACCCAAACCTAACTCCCCACCCTCGCCCTCAAAGTCCTGGGCACCCCAATTAACTACATCCTGAACCTCCAAACCCCAAGCTCTCCTTTTTCTTTGAGATTTTCAGGTGTGCGTCACTTGGGCTTCGTTCTAGGAGATTAAAAAAACCACAGCTGCCCAACCAAATCGGCACACCAAAAGACATGTTGATCCTAAAACCTTGTTTTCTCTCAGTACAGTAAGAACCAAAAGGCATCAACATGGGCTCCAAGAGCCTTTGGTGGCATGGAGCCCTCGGCTGTCCTGTGTCCGTGGAGCAGGTGCTCTCCCCAGACGCATATCCTCAGCCCACATCCGCATCCCAACCGCTGGGGATTTTGAGGCTTCTGGATGTTTCTAGTGCACCAACATCCAGGACTCGACCCACCCGCACAAGTGCAGGCATACCCAGAAAACAACAGGGCGTATTCCGAAGACTTCAGGGCTTGGAAGCCCTTGTACACACCGTACACATCGTCTTTCAAGACAGTCGCATCTGGGTCTGGAGGTCAGCCTAATCTTAGGAATCTTAGGTGTCTTTGCTGTCTTTGCTCTGGGTTTGGGCTCCGATGTCCGAACATCCGCAAGCTCAAAGCACTTACCTGCATACCACAGCTTTTCAACTCTCGCATCTACTCTCTCTCTCTCTCTTATGTTTTTTTTTTTCTCTCTCTCTCTCGAAACCCACTCGTCTCATCTCATCTGCTGGTTCGCTCACTCTTACGCTGAACCATAGGCTCAAGTTGCAGGCATGGGGAATCTAGGGCTGCAGGGTTTAGCTAGTGAGCCTTTGGCCTCGGGCTTGTAGATCTTCGGTTTCTGACTGTGTGGCTTCAGGGTTGAGGCTTTCGGGCAATTGGGTCCTTCTTGTCGTTAGGGTGGGCTGAGTGGGGGTTTCGGATACAACGCCGTTCGTCCCAGCTGCCATCGCTGACAACCTTGGTGAAGTCCATGCCATTTGACAGGCCGGCGCGAACGCAGCCCAACCTCTTCACCCCTTCGCAGAACCTCGAGTGAACCGCTAGAATCCTGAGCATGAAAATCCCAGCAACTCTTGCTGAAACAAGTCCAATTCTCCCCTCAACTCCTCAAGCTCTACAAGTTGGGATGTATTGAAAAGCTCTACTATGTTAGACTGTTACACTGCTTCACCCCACATGTTGAGCCAAGCCTAGGTTTGGCGCTGAAGCTGACGGCTAACAGCCTGAACCCTGGATGCTGAGGGGTTCAGCCCTAAGGTCCCTAATTACAGTAAACTTTAAGGCTTCTGGCACTTGAGGCGCCTAAAGTAGCAAGTCGGACTTTGGCTAGATGCCTGTGCTGCAGATTGAGCCATGTCGGCATGAGCTGGATTCCCCAAATCCCTCAACCCCCGTCAACAACAAGTAGGGGGTCGATCTGGCTCCTGCAATCCGAAGACAAACGTTGCAGTCTGGCAAGAAGGATGCTCAGGTCACACTGCGCACTCTTTTCAAGTAAATGTAGATCCTTCCGCTGTGCTGCCTCAAGTGGTTTTTAGAAGTTTAAACAGGTGGCGGCGACTCCGCAAAAGCATTGTTCGGTCAAGATGTGAATCTCAAGAGTCGGGTGGTGAAGACGCAAGGTTTAACTTTAAGATTAAAGCTTGCTATTGGGAGGTTCAGGTTCAGGGCCGGTAGGTCCAAGCCCTCGCATGCTATGAAACATCGTGCATGTCGGTCACTACAGCTGTGGGCTCGAACACCCAGGCCTTACCCTGCAATGGACACCGCATATTTACATTATTTACCACCTGTGGGCTATACGGCAACTTGGTGCGTAACCGTAGCTTCCCCCCCCCCCCCACACGATACATGATGTTGTTCTAGTGCATCTTGTCTAAGGGCCGTCGAATTGGGGGACTGGCTGTAGGTACTGCAGGTGCTGGGTCTCTACGAGGTAATCTACAAGGTTTGGTTGTTCTCAGTTGGGAAAATGTTGGAAAGTTGAGTGTGCAGGGCTGAGTCGGTAACAAAAATCGATCCGTCCACTGAAGCACCAATCGCATCGATTGCAGACGCTCTTGGAAAGAATGAAAGAGCACATCTGCGGCAAACATGCGCATCAACATTTGTTTAACCCCCCCATGTGCACGCTGCACGTCGGTCTCAATATGTGAGAACAGCTAGCATAAGAAGTTTAAATAAACAGGCACCATGGCCCCATGACAGGCGGTTTTCGTGGCACGAGAATCTGCTTCTTGAATGCTCACACGCGTCGCATCAAACTCTGTAAAAGGGCCATGGTTCCTGGAAATCTAGGGACCGCTGCAGACCCTTTAGGAGTGCTACTGGTCCAGAGGAGGCCTAGTTGCCTAAAGTTTTAGAGGCCCACGCAGGGCTGCCTCAAGCGGACATTTGGACTGAAGTATACGACGCACGCAACACAAATCAAGTGATTGAATAGACTGAAGAACTGCCCTTCCACGACCCCCTACCACACCATCTCGATGCAAAGCCTCAATTGTCTTCAGGGTCCAACTCCGACCTGAGAGGGCATGTCGAGGGCATATGGCGTTTGCAGTGTACTGCACACTGCACACCGCTGACTCGAATTCTGGGGGCCCTTCCGTCACAACCTGCATGAGCAGCCCAAGTGAAGTAGTAGAACTCTGGAACGGCAAGTCAACACGATATTCTTGGCGTCTAAACATTGACACCAAAGAGTGTAGTGGAGTCCGAGAAAAAGCCCGAAGCAAGTCTGTAAGCAGAAAGCCAAGAATCGTACTCTTCTGGAGGGGCTCTACCAGTCCTTGTGCTTGCTGTCCCACTTCGCCCAGCCATCCGACTCCTCAGAGTGGCACAATTAACTTGGCGGGGTGTTGGGGGGTATGAGTTTGGGTGATTTCGGTGAGGTTCTTATAAGGAAGAATTTAAGAGGAAAGCTCGGAACGTGGTGGTTCTGAGCCGGGGCGTGAAGGGGTTTTCTGGGGGTTTCAAGTCGGGGCGCAGTTCTAATGGGCGGTCCTGTTTGGGCCGGAAAGAGGCCGCTTGAAAAAAGCTTTGTTTAGCTTTCACATAGGTTGCAACAGCCGCTGGGCAATCCACACATCCAAAACAGCTGAACTAGTCAAAAGCAGTTCCATGCAAAAAGAAGCCGTCGAGCGTGGCTGCCGGTCTCTGGAGAGCTGTTCGCATTGCTCCTTGGGCTGTCGAACCCAAAAACATTCAGACTCGAATGCCCTGAAACAGATCAAAACAGATCTCCCTAGCATTCCATAGCCTTTCCAAGCCTCCCCCGTTCCATGGAAAGCTACCTTGTACCAAGCACAGTGCGCACTCCATGCTGCGCTTACGGTTGGAAGTAAAGGGGGCATTGTTGCTGCAACATCCGCGGTGTGCGCTGCTGGCGTGCGGCTGGCGTGCGGTTGAGCCCCCCGAATTTGTCAACTATCAAGGATATCCTGTCGCTCCATATGCTACATCGCACTCTCGCCTCAAATCGCGCTTCCATCTCATTGTGGTGCACATTTTGGTGGGTTCTAACGGGACGTGGCAGTTTTCAAGGCTGTCATAGGCTTGGGGTTTCCCTGAGTGGCTTTCCACTGTTTGGGTCTGTGCTGCCTGCACGCTTACGTTACAGGATGGTCGTGCGCGCTTGATCATCGCCACCCTTTGGGCTACAAAGCCTTCCTTTTTTGGGGTTTCTTCAAGCCGATACATCGTGACAGGGGATGGGCATGACGGCCTATGACGGCCCATGACGGCCTTAACTTCATCAGGCAGCCGTGAGACTTGACAACTTGGGGCGGGCAAAGGTGGAAGCCTGGGTTGGGTGGATGTAACTCCTGCAATCCAAGCAGCCAAGGATAAGGGTACCAGCAGGTCCCGAACAGAGCTCTGCGGGAGTTGCCTCTGCAGGCTGTTTGGAAGGAATCAGGGCTTTGGAGTGGTGTTGAAACTTGTTTGGCGAACAACAGGGAAAGGGTCAGAGTGGTACGTGAAGCATGAAGCTCATGCAAAAAGGGCAGGCTGGCCATGCGAAAACTTCGCTGCTGCTTCTTCGTTGTTGTCACTGTCGTTCTTGTTGCTCTAGGCTGGGAGGCCAAGGCACCATGCTGCAGAGAGCTGTTTGCAGCAGGTCTCCTTCTTGTCCGCCTGGGCATTGAACATCTTGCGCCGCAAACTATCGCTAGGGTGCGCTTCCTCAAACGAATGCAGCATGGATCTTGAGAAAGATTCTTGACTTAATCTATTCAGCTGTTGGCAGCATACAAAATTCCTCATGCATCCCCCTGCCCCCGTGAGCGCGTCAGATCTCCACGATTTTGTTGTCTTGATGATAAGCAGAGCGTTGCAGGGCCACACTTTGTGTCACGCTGAAGAACATAAATCAATATTGCAAACAGTGCTTCCGGGCCACACGAGCGCTGTGACTGTTGACACTTTGGGGACGTGACAAAAAGTTCGGGTGCCCAAAGCGACGACAGTTTTGGGGATCGCGACGCACCCGACGCGTGCGACTGTTGCCGGACTACGATGCCCAAACACGGGCTTCCGAAGGGGGAGACCCCAGATGAGGAGGGGAGGCCGGGGGGAGTGGTAGGGCGCCAGGACCCGCCACAGCTTCCGTACCCTCCACCTTCCTTATCCTTCCATCCTTGATCCCAGTTTTCTTGGTCATCTCCAAGCTTCCTGCCGTTCTGACTTTGATTATCTTGAGCCTGGGCGCGACCCAGAAACCACGCTGTCGGCAGGTACTGACATAGGTCCTCAGAGATGAACATGCAAGGTGTTGGGAGGTCTAATCCTCGGCCCAAAGTGGTTTGCTATCTACCACTGTGCTACTATAAGCCCCCCCGTTGTAGCCAAACGTAGGATTGCAATCAGTACCCAAGGGCTTCGGTTGATGCTACATTGAATGAAGACAGGTTGCAACCACAATGACTTTGGAGGCTCTATGGCTATAGCTGCCCACTTCACATCCCATCTACAAGTGCACAGTGTTTTTCCAGGTGAGCATGAAATTCAAACGAAATTCTGTCTGCGCTACACACCAGGCTTCTTCAGCTGCGCAGACGCTGTTGACTGGTTAGCGGTGCGCTCGTCGTAGTGGAAGCGCCTGTGGCTCAAAATTCGCAAATACCTTATGACACCACCAAATCCCCAAAGCCGACAGCACTCTTGTGCTGCTCCAGTTCTCTCTCCGTCTCTCTCTCTCTCTCTCTTTCTCTTCTTCGTCTTCTGCCGGGCTTGAAGGGCAGGGAAGTTCACCCAACCCCCCGCGCGCTGCGCCTTTGTGATGCGAAACTGAGTCGATGTGACACAGAAAAGTCTTGCTTGCTTTCTTGCTTGCTTGCTTGCCTGCGCACATGACCCCCCAAGATGGGGAGTCGCCCCGAGGGGCATGCTCCACCGAGTCTGCTGGTGTGAAACTGGTGCAATGTGGACGTTTTTTGTAGAACCAGGAATGTGTGTACAGCCCCCAGAGGTCATTGCCTCAGCACCAACCGGACATCCGCCCCTCTAAGATACTCTAACAATACGTTATTCGCGGGCTTTCCGGTTTTGCGTCCTCCCCGATCTGTGCAATGGGTGCAACATGGTACGACGCGGGTGTTTGTTGCGCAGCGTGTCAGGAAAAGACGGAGGGGGATTGCTGACATTATTGCCACGCGGCTCAGTCGAAAGTTGCTCTCCCCGACCTATGTTTCAGGCCTGGTGTGCAGGCGAAGGTGACAAGAAGGAGAGTCGTGGTTGTTGCGGGCACTGCACAAGATTAAAGTACGGGGGCCATTGGAGACGTACAGAGATTGGCTCCCAGTGCTGATGTGAGTCTTTGGTATCATTTTGGTGACAACGTGTGTGAATCGACCAGTTCTCTGCTCACCCTCGCTCAGTCGCTGCTCGCCACATCGTGCTCTCTACGCCGTCGATGTTCGGGGAGGTGTCGTACTTTGGGTGCGGTGCGTGGCAGGGTCTGGGTTCTGCTCCCGCTGTTCAGCTGCTTGGTGGCGTGTGTCTTGTACCTCCCTGGCTGTCTGTCTGTCTCTGTGTCTGTGTCTGTGTCTGTGTCTGTGTCTGTGTCTGTGTCTGTGTCTGTGTCTGTGTGTCTGTGTCTGTGTCTCTGTGTCTGTGTCTGTGTGTCTGTGTCTGTGTGTCTGTGTCTGTGTGTCTGTGTCTGTGTGTCTGTGTCTGTGTCTGTGTGTCTGTGTCTGTGTGTCTGTGTCTGTGTGTCTGTGTCTGTGTGTGTGTCTGTGTCTGTGTCTGTGTGTCTGTGTCTGTGTGGTCTGTGTGTCTGTGTGTGTCTCTGTGTCTCTGTGTGTCTGTGTCTGTCTGTCTCTGTGTGTCTGTGTGTGTGTCTGTGTCTCTGTGTGTCTGTGTCTCTGTGTGTCTGTGTCTCTGTGTGTCTGTGTGTGTCTGTGTGTGTCTGTGTCTCTGTGTGTCTGTGTCTCTGGTGTCTGTGTCTCTGTCTGTGTCTCTGTGTGTCTGTGTCTCTGTGTGTCTGTGTCTCTGTGTCTGTGGGTGTGTCTGTGTCTCTGTGTCTCTGTGTGTCTCTGTCTCTGTCTCTGTCTCTGCGTCTCTGTCTGTGTCTCTGTGTCTCTGTCTCTGTCTCTGTGTCTCGTCTCTGTGTCTCTGTCTCTGTGTCTCTGTGGTGTCTCTGTGTCTCTGTGTCTCTGTGTCTCTGTGTCTCTGTGTCTCTGTGTCTCTGTGTCTCTGTGTCTCTGTGTCTCTGTGTCTCTGTGTCTCTGTGTCTCTGTGTCTCTGTGTCTCTGTGTCTCTGTGTCTCTGTGTCTCTGTGTCTCTGTGTCTCTGTGTCTCTGTGTCTCTGTGTCTCTGTGTCTCTGTGTCTCTGTGTCTCTGTGTCTCTGTGTCTCTGTGTCTCTGTGTCTCTGTGTCTCGGTGTCTCTGTGTCTCTGTGTCTCTGTGTCTCTGTGTCTCTGTGTCTCTGTGTCTCTGTGTCTCTGTGTCTCTGTGTCTCTGTGTCTCTGTGTGTGTCTCTGTGTCTCTGTCTGTGTCTCTGTGTCTCTGTGTGTGTCTCTGTGTCTCTGTGTGTGTCTCTGTGTGTGTGTGTCTCTGTGTGTGTGTGTGTGTGTGTGTGTGTGTGTGTGTGTGTGTGTGGGTGGGTGTGGGTGTGTGTGTGTGTGTGTGTGTGTGTGGGTGGGTGTGTGTGGGTGCGTGCGTGCGTGCGTGCGTGCGTGCGTGCGTGCGTGGGTGGGTGTGTGTGTGTGTGTGTACCCTAGCCACCACTTGTTCCAGCAAGCCCGCCATGTGCTCCCTTTTCAGTGCCATCTCTACTCTACTTGTTCTTGGAGTTCATCTAGTAGTGTGATCGCCTCCCTGCACGCCTTGCTTGCTTGCTTGAGTGCGTATGACCCCCTAACGGAGGTCGCCCCGAGGGGCACGCTTCATATCGGGTCAGTCGGTGTGAAATGCGGGCATGGTGATGGTCGGACATACCGAGTCAGAGTATTAACGAGCCTCTCCCTCTCTCTCTCTCTCCTCCCTGTCTCTCCCTGTCTCTCTCTCTTCGCCGTACACCCGCCTTATACCTCCTAAGCTCAAACCTCAAACCCAAAGAATCCCCATACCCTGAGACGCCCTGCATTAGACCAAGAGAAGCAGCCTCTTCGTCCCAATATAAACGAGACCCTGCAAAAAAAATCGGCAAATTCACACATCACCACGGAACTCACCGAATCCATTTCTGGCCGGGTGCTGGATCACGACTTTCTGCTGCTCAACCTCCAGGTCTCCTTGAGATCACAAGGTTCTTTTGGACATCCTACTCAGAGAGGTTCCTCATAAGGTAAAAAAACAAAGCAACGAGTCGATGATTTTGGAGAATCAGCCTTGATTGGTGGGAACTATCAGGTTTCTTGCTTCATCAGATTTTTGAGCTGTTCAATTCAAGGCTCGGAGGTTTTATGGATGCATATTGCTCTGCGTTCAGATGTGGCCTGAAGGGCCTCAGTGGTTTTGGACCGGTTCTTGATGTCGATCTTTCAAAAGACCTGTAGTTGTTTCAGCTTCGCTGCTTCAGAAGATTCACCCCAAGCATATTACAGCTTACGGCAGCTTGTCCAATGCAGCCAGCACTCCAAGGATATCCTGGGCATCGGAGTACGGAATGGCCCTGCCGGCCGTCTTTGGGTTTGGGACAAGGTTCCGGGTTTTGGGCTTCAGGTCTTGAGGTTGATGCAAGCTACAAAGGACTGCGACACCATTGGGGAATGTAGATGACTGCCCATGCCGGGTATCAGAATTGTGCTGAGGTAACGGGGTGGCACATGCCGTACGGAAACGTTCGAATTGTAAAGGCTGTAAAGCTTCCTACTGGTAGCTACAAAGTCAGGACCTACAGGATCCTACCAGGGATAGAGGATTAACACGAGTCTGCAGGTGCCTTCCCGCAGCGTTCGTTCCTTCTAGCGGTGCTTTGGAGACCTCCCCTTAAACTCAGAAACCGGTCTACCAGGATGCTTTGAATGGGGAAGAGCACTAGCCACTCACGCCTGTCTACTGTACGAGCTGGTTTCCCCAAGAAACCATTTCTGAGCCAAGGAGCCACTTCTGCGCAAAGTCTTTGATCTCATCCTGGTCAGGCCGTGCGGGCCGTGCCCCAACCACATGCAGGATCGCTTGCCAAGGCTTCTCAACTGGTACCAAAAACGCACGGGCGGTCCTATTCAAGGCCTTGTGCTTGCCGAAACAACTGCCGCCTCAAACGCCGGCCTCACAAGCCTCCCTTGCCCATATCTTCCGCGTAAACAGAGAGCAAGGAATAACAAAAAGGAGTCCGCAAGCTTCTCCAGCAAGCTTTAGCATGAGGGCCGAACCCGGAGCCCTCACTAGCAGCTCGCTCATTTCACAGGACTTTAATCATGCAGAGGGGGAAGGGCCGAAGTGCCGAAGGGTCTCATAAGATGGGGTTTGGTGCTTCCGGGTTGAAGGGCTTGAGCCTCTCCTGTACTTGAGTGTAGAGCCGATTTGGGACACAGGGGGCCCTCTGGCACTGAGTAAACCTAAACCCGCATCCTGCACCGACAAGCTTCAACCCATGCCCCTTCAACTAACGAAGCAACCGGGGGTGAGCGTACTCCGCGGCCCCATTCAACAAACACCCGCTATGATTCTATGATGTTGAATGGTGCTAACGGTAGAACTGTAGAACATCAGCGGTCGTGATGCTGTAAATGGCTGTGGGATAAAACAAGTTGGAGCATAGTTGGATATTGCTGAAACAAGAAATGCCTGAGAGAGAGAGAGGGAGAGAGGGAGATAAAGAGAGAGGCGAGGTGGCGAGGAGAGGGCCTACGACGACCACAGACCAATATACGGAGACAACCCATTGTCTGGACTTCATTCGGCAAACTCACGCCCCTCGTCCAGATAGCTTGAACTTGCGGAGCCACCTACATTCTTCAGCCTCCAAAAACTCTTGGAGTGCACCAAAAGGCTATGGAACCTTTGAACTCCCCAGAAGCACTGAAGCCCCAAAAACCCTCGAAGCCGCTGAGTCACAGTTTAAGGTTCTTGGGATTCGTAGGGCTGCAGGGCTTCAGAGTCTATGCTTTGGCGCCTGCGTGAAGCCGTAGTGGAGGCAGCTGCTGACGTATTCTGGGCTCGAGGGGCGGTCTTCACTGATGTACCAATGTTAAAGGTCTAGGCAAAGACCAGAAACTTGCCCTCTTTGCAGAACTTTTCTTACAGCGACCAAGGGTGTTCAGGGCTTCTCCCTAAGACCTCATGGTCATCCGAAGAGAAACTGAATGCATGCTGAAATCAGTCGTCTTCTTCGGCAAATGAAGAATCTGTCTTACTTTTTAGAGGATTTTAGAGGTGCTGACAGAGCAGACTACTGTTGGAGGCCACAAGACTGTCCAGTTGCACGGTGCTTCACCAAGCTAGGACAGTCTTTGTGAGCCAGGAACGGATAGAACTTCGGGTTGCGCATCCGAAGGTGGTGAATGCAACATGTTGCAGTTGTATGATTGGTCTTTGTGGGGCACAGCTTTCCGACAGCAAGTGAGTGAGTGAGTGAGAAACCTAAATGTAAGCCTGGTAGCTTCGCAGTAGTCCCACTGGTGAACCTGCATGCGGAACAGTTGCACTCGAGGTTCTACACAACAAGACAGCACAATTAAGGCTTGGAAGAAGACGTTGCTTCCGGAGTTTGGCACGGCGTTACAAAGCCCTGGGCTCAGGAAACCACACGCAACGTCTCAAAATTCAAAGTAGAGAACAAAGAACTGTTACGGCGGTTCGCAACACCCGAAGCTCTGGCCGAACCCTGCCGCGCGCCTTTGCTGCCCTTGAACCTGGTTTCAGAGATTGACTTGCGGTGGCTGGTTTGGGGGACAAGGAGTGTAGTTTTCAGCAGTTATCGGGGCTCTGACAGTGTCTAATCTAGGGGCTTGGCAGCTCAAGCTGTTGCGTGTTCGGGCAGGCATTTAGGCTTGGAACAAAGTAAAGAAACTCTGAGTGAATTCTGTTTGCCAATTTGAGAATCATGCAGATAGTTAGCAGAACGTACAGACAACGGCCAGTGCTTGAGCCCAGGACTCTGCGACTGCTATCGGCTACATCCCAAACAATCTGAAACAACAGGCTGAAGACTGAAAGCCCTATTGACGGCATAACGTTGAGAAAGATCATCTCAGGCTTCTGAACGCAACAGGTCCCGGACCTCTTCATCACCAACTTCTGCTGCCACGTGGTCAGGCGCTCGAAGATGCTTGCGACCTCGATCCAAGCGACGAAGAGTGATATGTGATATGCAGACATACATACATACATACTTACCTACTTACTTACACACATATAATCATGAACGTAATCATACGGCCAAGTTACTTACGTCTTGTGTACATACATACATACACATAGTCATGTACGCAGTCATACAGCCAATACAAAACCTGGCACGCCTTCAACATTGCTGGATGGGGGGTAGTTCAACATGTTGTAGCCGCGGCCATCCAAATTACGTGCAGCAGTCCTACAGAACTAAACCTACAAAGACTTGGGCTATCCTAGACTCCGAAGCCCCGAGTAGCCCAAGGACTACCCAAGGCCTACGGTGGACTTTGGAATACGGAGTGTGGGCCTCATCAGGCGGTTTCGTGGCATTTACTGTGTAGTTCAGAATCTTGGCTCAGATAACGGCTTCAGGTTTAGAGTTTGGGGCTGTGGTTCGGATTTGAATTTGGAGGTTGGGATTGAAAGTTTTGGCTCAGTTTAGTCTAAAGAGACCCAGTTCGAAATGTTGAGGTGCAGCCCAGGGGTCCTAAACCCTCCCCAAGCCCTCCACCTTCACTGCCAAAGTTGTAAATGACGAAGGGAGTCAGGCTTGACTAACTCACACCTTCACACAGCCAAAAGGCCTGGTCCTCCGGCATTCCCCAAGAATCGGCAAAGACTGCGACCTACACTGCACGCGAAGTTATTTCTTGAACGGTCGAGGCAAGATGAATATCAACACTTTAAGAAACTAAACTCTGCACTGGGCGATTGGGGATGTTGCCACTTCCTGCCAGCTCCAGTTCCACTTCATACCCAAACCCATCCATGCGTCGTTTGTATGTCAACGGAACTACTGCCGGGCAGGAAGCATTGTTAGATAGGTTTGGTGTTGACAGGGTTCGTATATTACACGAGGATCAGTGTCGGACAAGCACAGTCAGCACAAGGGTTAAAGGAGTTCTCTTTTCAACATGGTGGTTTGGCTTTGGCTTTTGCCTGCAGCTTGGCTCAGACTTGGTTTTGCATGCGAGATACAGCAATATGGAAGCCACCAAGTGTGTACATTCTGGTGTCCGTGACCGGCCCTGTAACATGGGTGTGGGGTGTCGAGCTTGGAGGCTTAGGGTCTGACATGGTCTCGTTGGCTCTTGTCGTCACAGAGGTTGGGAAGTCGGACTTGCCTAAACTCCAGCATCACGCCTCGCATCACCAGATGACCCTTTGTCTGCCTCCTCACGCAGGAGGTCCTCGACATGTCTTTTCCTGAGTCTTAGTCAGATGCCCGGGATGCCCCCCCCCCCCCTCCCCCACCACAGATACCCCAAACTCCAAAACCTACCCGACTCCATGGCTGTAGTTTGCCACAGACATGGATCATGGTCTTCCGGTCAGGGTGAGGTTTCTTCGGCTTTAGGGTTGCCCGCCGGGGCTGAGGGAAGTGTGCTCTGGAAAAAAAACAGCCTCATTCATGAGGAAAGATGTACCTTGTGATGTCGGTCGCTGTCATTTCTGCCGGAAATCAAATTTATGCCGAGAACCCTGATTAAACCTGAAGCCCTTAGTTATTTTGAGATCTCACGTCTCGGTAGCGCGTACGAGAGTCAGCTGCTGAAGCCTCTCTTCAACCCAGCGGTTGCCGCCATCCTCTCAGGGATGCTGGCACTGTCAACACGCCTTCGCCATTTACAAAGTGCAGAAGGAACGATACACTCGTGGTGCGAACAAGATCTGGTCAGACCAAGCTGCCGTCTGCCAGTCGTGAAGACGCCTCGCCACCACGCTCGCAAACTTGTATTGGGCATATTAACAAGTCTAGCACGTTCAATCTCAAGCCTACTTTGGTAGACACGGCGGTCCCTCCACTCGACCCCCAACCCTCAGCTCCAACCCGAGCCACAAAATCTTCGACCCTGGCTCGGTGCACTCGAAGGTGCTGCGTGGCCCAGTCTAGGCGGCAGTTGAGATCGTTCCTCGGCATCGCGCACATGGCAAGGCGGTGTTTGGGGTTCGGGTGCCCCAGAAGAACCTCACCCTGCTGGAACAAAGCCCCTGGAACACAACAGAGGCTCCCACCTGCCCCTTCTGGAACTCTGGCACGCAGGTTCAGGGACTTACTTTGGCATTTTGCCTACCTAATTGATATGCTCTAGTCATCTCTTGACCTGGACCCTTTACTTGCAATAGCGGTGATACACTTGCACTCTATGGTCATGGTCCGAGAGCCATGAAGGTACGAAGCTTCGGATTGTCACCCCAAGCGCACGCTGCTTGAGAAGCCCTGTCAGAACCTGCCAAACCTCAGTTTTGTGGAGCCCCGAGAGCTTGAGCCTGCTATAAACCGATCATCCCGCAACCCCAGACAACTTGAGTGCCCCGAAAGTTTCTAACGCCATAAACCCAGAAAGCCAAATAAACCCGAGCAGCTCAACTTCACGATGTCGCGCTCGCTCCTGCTCAAGCCTTGGATTCTCTCCCACTTGCTTGCAGTGTTGGGTTCTCACGCGACTCGTCATGCAGACACTTCCCCACTCCCGCCAGAGCAACACGCAGCCGCTATGGAACAAGGGTCGAAGCCCCAGATCCGCTAAAACGGGGCTTTGCAGCGGACCGGGAATGTGGTCGGGATAGGTCGTCAGTGCGTGTTATCTTGGCGTGTGGGACTGGTAAGATTGGGTTTGAAGTGCAGGCTTGGAGTGGTTGTATTGGGCCCGGAGTGGTCATGATTGGGTTCGAGTGGTTAGGACTGGGTGGTTAGATTGTTGCACTGGGGCGTGGGGCGGGGAAAGGCCCGTGAGTGGTCAGATTGGCTTGGCGCAGGGTCCGGCCCAGGCGCTGCACGAAGAGAGCAAAGAGACACGCGCAGAGTGCCTGCAGACGTATGCGTGATAAACCGTGGCAAGCAACTAAAAGAAGAAAGGGGCCATGTGTCGTGGCTCGCGTCGCCGCCGCCGCCGCCTCCATTAAAAGACTTCTACGGCGCATGAACTTATTGTGTTCTCTTGACGGGCTGTCTGCCTTGTGAACATGTCTGCCAAGAATCGCGATTGGGTCACCGCGCCAGGCCAGTCTAACTACTCGCGAGTTCTTCGTGCCCTTGTCGCTGACCACCGCTTGGAGAAAGGGCGTAGCCCCGTGCCGTGTGTGGGCGTGGTGTTGCGGAGCTGTCCTTTAAAAGGATGCTCAGTGTCGCCACGCCGCGCCCTCTCTCCGTGTCCACAGCCAGGTGGACCTCGGCTTCGGCCGCATCGCAGCGCTGCAGGACCGAGCGCACGCCGGCACTTCTGAAGGGCACGAAGACCTCTTGACGAGTGAGCGCGCGGGGCTGGAGGAGGTACAGCTCCGGGACCTCCCCTGGCGTTTGGGGCCAGTCGACGGGCTCGACCTTGCCGCGTGCGGCGGCAGCTGTTGGCTGGCTCTTCGTCCGGCGCAATCACTCCGTGAGCTGGGAGTTGCTGGGCAGGTCAGCTTCTGCACGGTGGTGCGTGACCAGGTGGAGGAGGTCGGCTGCCGAGCGCTGACCGACCTTGGCGTCTCGGAGGTACGCCTCAGCTGGGCACGGGTGAAGATGGACCGTCTTAGAAGTTGACTGGCGGACTGGGCAGGCTGCTGGGCTGCACCTTCACGCGCGTGCTGACCGGTGGTGGTGAGGACCAGCGTGCCCGCGGCTTGGCCTGCCATTGGAAGGGGCACTGGGCACGTGCGTGCAGAAGTGAACCTGCTGGCATCTGCTGAATGGCATGGCGGACGTGCGCCCATTCTTGTCGGTCGCGCAGCAACCGCAAGAGCTCGCGGTTGGGCAGCAAGATGGGGCCCAGAATGCCTGGAAGACTAAACGTATCATTAAAGGACCTAGGTGTGATGTAAGGCGCGCAACACACGGATCATGCAAAAAATAAGAAACATTTGGGTTTTTAGAGGTCATTTGAAATAGCAATGCATACACAGCAGCTTGCTGCACAAAACCAAGGTTTACCGACGAAGTCACAGCACGTTCACAGCAATTGAGCCAAACTTATGGTTTAGGGAGTTTTAGGGTGCGTCCTACCAAACAGGCTTCTGGTTTAGGGTTTAGGGTTCAGGGTTATAGGGTTCAGGGTTTAGGGTTTGCTAGCAGCCCAAGCCCTGAACGAAAAGATCACACTTGAAACTCGCTCTTTCACAGGCCCAGTTGTTTCAGGATCGCTTGCTTCACAGATATACAATTCCGAAGCAACAAATTCCGCTCCGCGGTTCGGTGACTCACTTTTGTGAGCATTCGCGCACACTGCTTGACGTGGTCTTCGTCGACCCAGCATTGGTCCCACGCAGGGGACCTCCTGCTCGGTCTGGTGGGGGGCCATACGGCTTTGCCTGCGGCTGGTTCGGGCGGGCAGGCGCGGCGGCGCGCTTGCGGCGGCAATCATGGCCGGCGCAGCTTGGACGCTGGGCGGAGCGGCTGTGGTGGCTTTCGCAGGTGTGGCCCCGCTCGCTGAGTTCCGGCTCCGCGTGGTGCGGAGGAGGGCGGCTCCTGGTTGAGGCCGGTGGAAGTGCCGAACAAGTGCCGGGGGACGCGGTGTTTATGCAGCCACCGCGTCATATCGCGGGTTCTCCACGCGGAACTTCCGGAGCAGGGGCGCCCAGGCGGAGCTGCTGGAGCCGCTCCAGGAACGCAGCAATGCGTTGCAGGGCTTGTTGGCGCTTCTCGGGGCCGCCGAGACGCAAGATGCGCTTGAGTGTAAGCTCGGCCAAAACATCTGGCCAATGGCAGGGCCAGGGCTGCCGCGCAAGGGTGCCGCGCACGGCGTGTGGGAAGAGCTGGGCGCCTGCGTGGTTGCCGATGAGACTGGTGCCCAGCCAGTACATGGCCTTCGCATGTAGAGCTTGACGTCGCGCTGAGGCTCGGACAACTGCAGGGCCAGCTTTTCCAGCGCCGTGGCGCGTGGGCCTAGGCGCTGCACGAAGAGGCCAAAGAACGCCTCTAAGATGGGGGCGCAGACCTGCTTGAAGAAGCCAGTCCATTCGGGTTCGGACGTGGTCATCTCCGCCCCGAAGTTAGACAAGCAGCGCTGGGCGAGGCCCATGGGCTTCTTCTCAGCTAGCTGTGCCCACCTGCAGCTCTCGAAGAAGAGCTCTTGCTGCAGAAACAGCACGTGGACGTTGGTGGGATCGATGGTGACCCCCAACCACTCACTCGGACCCACTCTGACCACTCGCGAGCCCAATCAACCTCTCCAGACCTGACCACTCCAGGCCCGGAGCAACCACTCCAAATCCAATTCTAACTACTCCCAGGCCAAGCGCCCCTTGCCCCATCGTAACCCACTCCCAGGCCAATCTAATCTCGGACCCAATCTAACCACTCGCGAGCCCAATCTAACCAGGCCCGCAGCAACCACTCCTCTCTCTCTCACCACTCCCGGGCCAATCTAACCGCCCACCACTCGCGAGCCCAATCTAACCACTCCAGACCCAATCTGACCACTCCAGGCCCGCAGCAACCACGCCCCATCGTAACCGCTCACTCGGACCCAATCTAACCACTCGCGAGCCCAATCTAACCACCGCTCCACACCCAATCTGACCGCTCCAGGCCCGCAGCAACCACTCCAAATCCCATCTAAGCACTCCCACTTTCACTATATTCTCTGTTGCCTGAACCTTCCCTCAGACTTCCTGGCTGACAGAATTTCAGCGGAACCAGCAACCGACAGCTTTAGCGTAATTGCGTTCCGGTCAGGAAATAAAAGATGAATTTGTGAGGCTTTGTTGGAATTATGTCTGAGGTAAGCGCGACAACCGATCGCCTGAAGTTAGGGCTTTCGAAGATGCCTAAAACGCTGGACCTCATAAACACAAGGCCACCGCGCCCCGAAAGTTCCTTCGTCAAGTGGCTGCTCTTCGGCGGCCCTCACTTTGGCAGATAAGGCCTGTAGGGCTTGTGTTGTTGAAGCTTGCAAGGTTTATGTTGCTTAGACAACAGGTTTTGACGGAACCTATTGTAACCTATTCACGGACTGAGTGGGACACGTGCTCTGGATTTGGGAGATATGTGTCAGCGAGGCTGGAAGTCAAGGCCCGAGCACGTCACTTGGCTACATCTTACGATCAACATTCTTAGTTAGTTCGTTAGTTCGTTAGTTCGTTAGTTCGTTAGTTCGTTAGTTCGTTAGTTCGTTAGTTCGTTAGTTCGTTAGTTCGTTAGTTCGTTAGTTCGTTAGTTATTTAGTTGGTTAGTTCGTTAGTTATTTAGTTATTTAGTTGGTGTGTGTGTGTGTGTGCGCACGTGTGTGTGTCTCTGCTCTTCGCTCTCTTGTGAGTGTGCGAGCGTGCGTTCACAGCAGTTCGAGCCTCAAATCATGAAATCTCAAGTCCCAACTGAACCCTAAACATGGCAGCCCTTCACTTCCTCCTGGCCGGCCACAGAGTGCTCCAATCGCAGCTGCAACTGATCCATCTCGCCTCAGATCTCAGACTATTTGGTGTGTGCACAGGATGGTTGAACCGTTGAGGGCCGTTGTGGCTGTAGTAGCATGTAGTAGCACAGGGTTTGTGTACGGATGCAGAATAGATATTCTGCGAGCGAACCTGCAAGCCGTCCATCCAGCCCCTCCCCCGCAAAAAAAAGGAAAGACAACTTGAGGATACTGTGTGGTGGCAATACAACTTGAGGTTCTTCTCTGGTGGCTACAAGTCTCTGAACTCAAACCTCAGACCATTTCTGTGTCCCCAGCAAAGCTGAGCCCGGATCCTGATTTTGATTGAGCACTAAATACTTGCTTGTCTTCAAGCCTCAGGAGTCGAGGCTACTACGGCCAGTGTGTGGATTGTAGGAGCAGGGCCAAACTGACCAAAGCGAGAAGTTCTAGACACCATCCCAACCACAGAGACCCTCAACATCCGAGCATCAAAGAATTCACATCGCACTGTGCCGAGGAGCGCTTCTGCGTCTCAGCCTCCCTCTCACGTGTGGCAGACTTCCGTGCCTCACTCTCGCGTGCGACCGCCTCCCGTTCCTGACTTCTAGGTTCTGCAAGCTTTGAGGTCTGTGGGAGTTTTTGTTCGGGGACGGTTGTGGGGGGCCCTTTATACTTCTAAGGTTTAGGGTTGCACCCCGAGAGGACTAGCAGGTCCTGGATATTCTTGGGGGTTAATGGCTCTTCCACGCCGTGCTTCGCAATAACCAGTGGAGGAATTGAAAGCGGCTCAGCCGGGTCCAAACCCTATAGTAGGGCTTTGGAGGTCTTTGGATTGCGGGCCTAAACCTTACTTGGACAAATTTAGCAGCTAAAGCTGAAGGCATCTGAAGGCTGTCCAAGGATCTGCGAATTTCGCATTGTCTTTTTCCAACTCTGCGATCCTGTAACAGCAAGCAGCATGACAGTTCGGCCCCAAACCACGAGTCGTATGACCAGAACCGTGGAGCACAGGTTCATGGCTTCAGGGCTTCAGGTCAGTGCATGCGCAGCTCCACGCGTATGAAACCCAGATCCGGCAGAACCAGGTTGGATGCTTTCTGGTTCAAGTTTCGAAAAGGCCAGCCACGGCTAGGAGTCCGGATATTACTGCTAGCGTGCTTGCCGTGAAGATTCACTCACTTTATGAACCAGCAATTGAGGGACCACCGCTGGCACTTGCAGTTGCGACCAATACGCGCCATCGAGGTTTCATGGGTGGTGTGAACGACATGCCCTACTACAAAATGTCAAAACGTGACTATCCTAGGCGATTTTGAAGCTTGATCTGCCTTCAGCAGGCGGTGCAGTCATGCTCTCCAAATCAAATCAAGCAAGACCAACTGCGCCGAAGACAAGCTCATTCACACATCTCTGCGGATGGGACTTGTTGAGGGTTTAAATATAAGAGGTTCGCGGTGCTGTGCTTCAGCAAAATTTTGGCAAACACAAAGAGGCAATGAAAGCTAAACTCAGCTCAGAGCCGATGCCTTGACCGACATTGCAGGCATCCACAAGGCCTCAAACTCTAAACCGCCCCACAACCTCCTCGAGCATCCGAAACCCCAAGGACGTTCAAGCTCTAAACACACCAAACATGCTCAACCCGAAACATCCAAAACTCTGAGCCCCATCCCTCATGGCTGCCAGGCGCGGTCCTCCGAAGCAGCTCCTTCTCGCGAGCTTCTGCCTCTTCAAGGCGCCTCTTGAAACGCCTCGGGCACTGGGATTGGAATTGATACGGTCCAGAGCCTAAAGGCCTTTGATGTTTGAATGTTTGAACACGTTGAAAGAATTGTACAAGGATTTGTCGCGGTCTGAGGGCTCCAGGTTCGGAGGTTTTGGGAACCAGCACTCAAAGCAACGTTCCATGATCCATGGACTTGATGCAGAGGTGCTCAGCCAAGTCATCTTCGGACGCTGCTTGCGTTGGCTTGGGCCATGCACCAGCGCTGCCTGAAACTACTGGGTGTGGGTCGTGTCTATTTTTGTCCAAGGCGTTCATAGTTTATTGCATCCCAAACTACATTATAAAGTAAGCTGAAGACTTTAACGGCTCTATGATTTGGAATTCACGGCTCTGCATTTTGGAACTGGGGGTAGGGTTCAATACCACGTCTACTTGTCACTTCGCGGCTACCACGTATATGAGCGACTTTTGCAGCAACCATGCAGCGAAATCACGAAGCAGGCCGCCTTCGTCTGGCGCAGCCTGTTCAGGCTCGGAGCTGTGTGCAGATGTGGATTTGGATGATTTGGGACTTGTGGCGAGGTACCGGCTTTGTCCCTTTGTTAGCAAGCTGGTCCTTCGGGTTTGAGTTTTGTGACTCTAAGCACGACAAAGCTGGCATCGACTTTCGTAGCTAAGTTGCTGCGTACCCCTGGCCTGCACAAAAGCCCTCTTCTGCACGGCTTGTGCTGCACACCCTCTCCCCTAGATGCAACTTTTCCCTAACTGGTAAACCCAAGCCACCGGGAATCATCCTTCGAAACAAAGGCGTTTGTTTGCCCTAGTGAAGGTCTTTGACTACTACGAGTATGTGCTCGTGAAAACGCTGTTCAGAACCGCTGAAAGGGGTGCCAATCAATGGGTTCCCTACGCGTTTTCCAGTTCTTCGTGCTGGCTTCGCGTGAGACAGCCACGCGGATCGCCCGTTTCAGATCGCGGTGACTGTCGCTGATTTTGGATCCTGGCTTCTTGCTTGCATGTCAACAGGGCTTTCATACACTTTGCCGGACCTCCAGGGACTGAAGGACAGCCCGGCCACTGGGCTGAACACGATGAAGGGGAGCCCCCTTGTTCGGGCTGATAAATCGCCAAGCAGGAGCTTCGAAAGTAAGTCGATCTAAGTCCAGTGTGCCCAAATGCCCCATCAGAGCGCCACTCATCAGCATCTCTGCCTGTATAGTTGACCTACAATTGAGCTGAGGGTACTGTCGCCTTTTAACAGGAGAAACGTGCTTGCAGGTTGCACCAGCTTGGTCGAAAATACTTGTGGAAAGCCGGCCTTGTTTTGCGGGCTGCACCGGGTAAGGTCACGGAGCGCACCGGCATGTAGCTGGCAAGCAATGACCTGGCTGCTGTGGGGCCTTGACATGAGTTGGACGGTGAAAACAACTGAGCGGAAAGAGCACAAAGGCAACTCGAAGAGGACCCATAATATAGGAGTTCATAGGGATTAAAAGACAACGTAGGCTAGCTTCCTTTGAAGGCAAGCGCAAAAGGGTCGAAAGGTGTAATCGTAACCTGCAGGAAAGGTGGCATCCGGCTTTCAACACCAGATTAGAAGATTCGAAGCCCATCGCTCTGGGGCTATGGAACTGCCATCCTGCATGTGTCTGATGTACGCTTTCGGAGCTTTTACGGCTCAGGGTGCAGAAAAGCCAAGAAACCCATTCCCCTAAAAAGAAGTTCCGCAGCCTGTACACGTGCCGAAGAACACCATGCAGTTACCAACAACTCGCCATTACCTGCTCACCACCTTACGTACGCCTCCGACCCAAGTCCAACACACCAGTTCGCACCTCTGCGATTTTCCGCTGGAGTGCGCCTTCCCGGCCAAGAGGTGAAGCAGGGCTTCAGCGTGGAGGACGTTTTGGTCTAAGCCGGGGGAGGGTGGTGGGGCGGAGTGCAGGGTGGAGGGGTCAAAGCATCCATACTGCATCTATCTAGTCCCCTTATACCCTGACGGCCTTGACCCCGAGCCCCTCTTCTTCAAGTGGGCCAGAAATGCACGCCGCCATGGCCAAATCATTCTGCTGGCTCGCGCTGTGCTTGTCTGCGCCGGACAGCGCAGCCAGATTTGCTGGCATGGTCAGACAGTCGGGGGTAGCTGCTCTATAGGAAGCAAGAAAGCTTCATGAAAACCAAACGCCAACGCCAACGAACCTAAACCAGCGTAACCAGCGCGCGAGGTGCCGAAACTGTGCGTGCCTTGAGGGTGTGCGATGTGGACCAGGGTTTAAGTCTTTAGTCTTTGGACCTCTGACTTTAGGGTTTGGGGTGGCACGCAGCAGAACATCCAACCACAGCCCTCATCCCAGAACAGATCTCCGCCATGTCTCTTCGAATGAAATTGAAATGGCTCTAGAAAGGGCCACCTTGAAACCGGGTTCCAAAAAACTCGGCCAGCACTTGCTGGGCCACTTTGAACTTGCGGGCGCCTGTGGCCGGGCCGCAGATCTCGCGCAGTCGACGTCCCGCCTTGGCCTCCTCGATGCCTGGACTGCAATTCGAGCTGAGATGGGTGCACTTGGGGCTTAGGGCTTGCTGAGGCCTTGGGAGCCCAAGCCCACAAAGAGGGGCCTCTTCGTACCCGAGAGCTTAAAGTTTGGGTCTCGAGTCTCGAGTCAAAAGCCTAGAACAACTTCTGATCCCCGTGAAAGGATTGCGATCTAAAGCTTGGGAGCCTGTGAGAACCGTCCGAGTGCCCTGAACTCTGGAACACAGTTCGAGACCATAACTTGCAGAACTCAGTTCAGGGTGCATGGAACTTCAATTGCGTGGCTAGTGATGCAGGTGATCTCCGGCCCCTGCAACTGCCTGCACCCTGGACATTGTCATCGGTTTAGGCTTAGGACCCTCTCCGCCATACAACCATGCAAGCCCTCTCTCGTCTCTCATAGCGAAAGACGTCATGCAACTGACATATTCATGCAAGTGTCGCATCATGACTTGCTAGCAGGTTTACCAACCCGAGCTGAATTTGAACATCGAAAACCGAGGTAGCCAAAAACCCCAACCGACAAATTCTAGAAGCCTGATGCCTCTGCTCCCCAACCAAAGACAATCCTTCCAGCTTCGAAGACAGGTCTCAAGGCCGAAGCTTACTGCGGTTGACCTGAACCACAAAGGGGTCCGGGCCGATGTTGGAACGGGGAAATTTTTGTGCAGGGCCGGGCAGGGTTCTGACATGTTTTGATTTAAGATTGAAGCTTCCAGGATCTCAAGGATTGGCCCAATAGGAATGTTCATCGCTTTGCGAAGTTTGCTGCGAGACTGGCAAGTCTCAAGCTTCCTCTCTGATGCACCACAAAACACAGTCTAAGGAGCTTTCCAAATCGACCACAATACGGGAGAGCATCCCACGAAGACTGTCGAGACCATGGAGACCATACTGCCCATCTCAAAGAAAGGAGCTGTATGAGGACACCTGTTGTTGAACTGCGAATCACCTAAAGTCCAGGCTCATGCAATGCATGTAAAGGCTTCTCAGGCCGGACACTGCTCGCTGAGGCTTGCGATACGGATTTCTTTGTGACTTTATGGGAGTGCTGATTTCTTATTCTGCTCGATCTGCTAGGCTGCAAGAAACCTGGCAGAAAGCCACGTGCAGCTTTGGGCTTCTGGGGGGTTCAGGTTTGAAGGAAAGCTTAGGATGCTTTTAAACTTTAGGGTCCTGCTCTGCAAGTGTACATCCGCAACGAGACAAAGTCTCCCAACTTATTCGGGCCACCTCCTGCGGCATGCCACCAGACTTCCGCTGCACTTTGGCTTTCGTGTCGCTTAAGGAGACCACCGTGCCTGTCGAGGCATCGGAATTTGTGGTGCTCAATGCCCCATTTAGGATTCAGCAGATTCCGTTCTTTCATTTTTGCGGACCAGGGCTTCCAACCACACTTCAGGATTCGGATTTGTTCGAGCTCGGTTCAGGGCTTGCCTGCTATCTTTGAACACATACATCACCCTGAGCGCTAAGTAGAATGTATGTCTGTTTGCCCGCATGGGGCATCATGAGCAAAATTTTTCCAAACGTGCCCAGCCGAAGGCGCTAGGGCTAGGGCGCTCAGGAGGTTGGTGCCAAAGCCCCTAGACACTTAGCCTGCAATCCAGCAAACAAACCTGATTAACCCCTCCGCAACCTGACCGTAGACCTGAACTCCAAAACCACACGCCTACGTTTGCGGGTGGCTTGAAAGCACAACTTCAGCTGAGCCAGTCGTTTTGGCAAGCACAGGGACTCTGAGGCTTCGGAGCCTTAGAAATTTAGAAGCCAAGCCAGCTCAAGCCGTAGATGGCCGTATGGCTAAAGAGCCAAAACCCTTAGCCCGCAGCTCTTTCAGCGGTCTCACTGCCCAACGAGAGCCTAGCTGTTCCTGCAAAAAAGACACGTGCCCTTGTCCATCCGAGTCTACCCTGATGCGGCACTCCTTGTCCTTTGATCTTGCCATCTGCAATCTTTACAGTCATGCCCACCTTCCGCAGGGTTCTAGACAAGATCTCAGGTTATGTCAAAGTACTGGAACCCGCCAAGCATTTCTTACGCAACATTTCTTGAAGGCAGCCACAACACCATAGCCAACTCCGCAGAGACCCTACCTGTAGAGCTCCTGAAGCTGCTCCTATGCTAACCTGAAGAACCCTGCTCTAGCGCAAGGCTCGTGCAGGCCCAACCTTGAACTCTTACATCCCAAGTCTCAGCAGACTGAGAACCTCCAAGCCATCCGCCGGCGGGGCTTCACTTGGCTTGGTTGCAGGCTCGCCTGAGAAATTGGTGATTGCACGAAGGCTAGGGTTTTCGATGGACTGGAGTGCTTGTGGGCTCGGATTTCTCTCTCGTAGCCTCGAACCTGGAAGTGGCTCGCTTTTTCTTCTGAGACTGGGAAAGAACAAGTCCAAAGTGGCACACGCACCCCCCCCCGCCCCTTTGAGGACTGATCCGCGCACGCTGGACTAAAAACTCAAGCTTTCATGAGCACCATCACGGTTTCAGTGGGTGGGCCTGGTCTTTCAAGCACAGGGCAAGCACAGGGCACCTGGTCATTGAAAGCAGAGATAGATAGAGGTAGAGTTTCAGTTTGCCATCGCTGCCAGGTCACTGGACTCAACGTCCGGCTTGTGCACGGGCAGCGCCTTGACAGATCCGATCGGTCACCGCTTTGCACGCATCCTTTTTTTTATGACGGATGGTGCCAAAAAAACGTCTTGGCTCGTCAACCCTCAGCAAAACTTCAAGAAGTCCCCCAAGTCCGAAAGCCGAACGTTCAAGTTTCATCCACGTCTGCACCTTGCTGTCCGCATGAGGCTGCGTCGGCTGCACAGGCTGCAAAGGCTGTGCGGGTGGCGGCTGTGCCACCGAAGCCTCTGAGCTATTGGAGAGCGGTGTGCTTTTGGTGCATTGAGTGGCGCTCTTTTCTTGTTGGATACGGTTTTCCGTGTTTTTCTTCTTCTTGGCTTCAAAGGAAAACGGAGAACAACTTGGGGAGGCTTCCGCTTTGAAACGAATGGCTTTCGGGACCTTGTGACACTCACCATTTTTTACTTGGGGACCAATTGCTCTGCGCACTGTGCAGAGTTGCGCTGTCGCACCTGAATGCCCTGTCCAAAAGATGAAGACTTTGCTTTTTGCAAGCCTCCCCCTGAAACCCAGGTGACTCGCTGCCTTCTGAGACGTGTAGGCTCAAGACTTCCACCCTTTTTCAAGCCCAAAATCTCGACCCCAAGCCTTCTTACCTCAAGCCCAATCTCGAAATCCCCCTGGAAAAAAGAAACAACTCAAAAGGTTGAGCTTCGATCTCCGGCGAACGCTGCTGTGGCACTGGCGGAGGGACGGGTGGAGCCTTCCGCAACAGAGCCCTAGAGTGGTGAACTGTGTTCGAGGTAAGTTGGGTACAAGGGCCTTGTGGCTTGGAGCTTTGCGTGTTGGGGATCTGGGGTTTGTTGGATTTGGAACTTAAGGATCAGGGGCTGCAAAAGCCTGAATACAAAAAGGAGCTCGCCGCGTAGCCTTCTTCGGCAATTCGCCTGATCCTGTTGCAGCACCGATCGGTAGCCAGCCTGCGAGTGCGACAAATCTTGTGGGCTCTCTCCTGGTTGTAGGTCTAGGGACTCCAGCACAGTTCCTCTGACATGCGGTTCCATTGGTTCCATTGGGTTCAAGGAGCTTCGCAACGGAAAAAACTAGCGTCAGGCAGCTTTCGCCTCTTTGTCAAAACCGAAAGCCAAAGCACGCACACCATTTGCACTGAAGAAACCAAAGACTTCAAAGCCCAAACTCCAAAAACCTGTCAAGCCCTAAACCCCTAAACCCTTAGTGATAGATACATGCACACCACAGTATTGCAAAACCTCTACATCCCCTGAGAACTTCGCCCTGCCTGGTGGTGGTGCCTTGGGCAGCAGCTCGGCTGGTTTGGCGAGCGGGTGCGTCTTTTCCTCAGCGCTGCCGCTATTGCTGCATTTCGTTTCTACGCTACTCGACCCCTCCCATCGATTATATTGAACCTCAACTCCTTAGCACTTTAGTGCCACTTTTGAGAGTTGGTGTTCGATGCATGACTTGGGCTTCTCCCTTCTGTCACAAATCGCACAGTCATACAGCCTAAAAGCTCAATGAAGCAGGAATTTACCAAAGCGTTACCAACTTCATCCGAGACAGACTAAGTCCAAGAACCAATGCCCTGCAATGTTCAAGACAGCATTGGGATGGTCGAGCTCCCTACCTACCTACCCAATCCTGAATTACAGGCAAACAAACAACGTGAAACAACTGAAAAAGACATGGACGCATCATTACGTGTCTGAGCGCGACTGGCAGGACCACACAAAACTGTTCCTGCTTGTGTTGGCAAACTGGCACTTTGGGAAGATTGGTTGGTTTTTTGAGGCATGGTGTTTGTTGTGCTTCTTGGGTCCCTTCTCACCGAAAAGCTTTACATCTGGATATTCCGGATGAGTGGCGTGTTTTGAATCATCATGCTGACGTGGCCGCTGGCTGTTGTGTTGCAGCCGCCTCTGCCCTGCGTTTGGATTGGTGTGCAGCCCTTAGCGCTCGACGGGCTTTGCCTGTCAAGATGTTGCAGTACGAGCGGGCCGCCTTTGTTGACTATCACGCCTTGCTTCTTCAACGTCCGCATGCGTGATCCTTTTGGTTCAAATACAAGGAGAGGATATTTTCCTCTATGGTGATGATGGAGTGAAGACCGTGTCATCCTGCTTCACTTACAGACCTGCACGCAGCGCAAGCAATTGCTTAATGGATCTGCCAGAGTCTCCTTCGCTGGCGGGGGAGGTGGCGGCGGCACCTTCTTTGGCGCCGGCGCCGGCGCCTCCATCGGCCGGAAGCTCGCCTTTGGAGTGCTTGCTTATGCTCGGATATCAAATGCTCGAAGCGAGCGCATGCGTGACAAAAAAAGGTAATCATGGATGAGTCAGGTTCTTTGGTTGTTGCATTTCTCCATCCATGTCATTTCCAGAGCTGCCGAGTTCGCTCATGATGAGCTAAGGATTCTTAACGGGCCAGGTAACTTCAACCCAAGGCAGGAATTGAGAGAAACGAGAGCACCGTGCAAACGGGTGGGTGTCCCAGTCCTTCAACTTGCTCGCACGCCGCAGGCGTGATGCATGTGAGGTGCGCTTGTTTGTCACAGCAAGGGCAGCCAGTCTGTCCACCAAACCAGCAAAACAGATCTCCTTGCATGTTTTTTCGGGATTCCCGCTGTTGCCCCAACTGGTAAGCGCACAAACACTCTCACACACACGTACAGGCTGAATCAGGCTGATATGTCCACCGTGTATACACATTGTCGGAACATGCCCAAGTTCATCGAGCAAAATGCTGTATATAAACCGAAGACTCTCTTGGAGCTTGCGACCTACAGCCTTAGACTCGGAATCTCCAAGCCACACACACACATCCTTCAGTGAGTTTTGGAGACACAATTTCGCCAAACCTTGCATACCTGACAGCCTACAACCTTACAGCAATGAAATTGCCGCAGGCCTCTGACCCCAAATTCGGCCTCCCAAGGTTAGCTCTAGCTCCGCAATCCGCAGTCTTCCCAAACCTGACCTATCAAAAACTGAACCGGGAAGCTGGAACAGGCGGAGCTTTGAGCTTGACGCCCTCATCTGAAGCGGGGCCGTTGCGCGGCAAGTCCTTGGGTTGACATTTTGCGTTTCACATGTTTGGGCTTTAGGCGAGGCTTTGAGGACTTTGATGTTGGAGTTCTTAGCAACATGCATAGCGGCGGGCTATGCCGCTACGTGTTGAGGGGCGCGCTCGGCAGGAGACCTGCGATGCCCTTTTGCTATGCACATCCATGCTCGCCCACAACACTCCCACAACACTCCCACAACCATATTTGCCCCTTCCCAAGCCCCTGGGCCGGGCCGGGCCTCCTTCCCAAGCCTCCTCCTCCTCCTCATTGGACAAAGCACTTCCTCTCTTTTCTTTCCAGCAAGTCTTCATTGGACCTCCTTCCCAAAGCACTTCCTCTTTTTTTCCCCCAGCATCCTTCCCAAGCCGCCTGCTCCTCATTGGATCTCTTTCCCAAAGCACTTCCTCGTTTGGGGCCGGGCCTCCTTCCCAAGCGTTCCTCCTCATGGATTTCTTTCCCAAAGCACTCCCCCCTTTTCTTTCCAGCAAGTTTGGTGCGCCTCCTTCCCTTGCTCCTCTTTGGACCTCCTTCCCAAAGCACTTCCTCCTCCTCCTCCGCCTCCTCCTCCTCCTCCTCATTGGACTTCCTTCCCAAAGCACTCCCCCCTTCTTCTTTCCAGCAAGTTTGGGGCCGGGCCTCCTTCCCAAGCGTCCTCTTCCTCATTGGACCTCCGTCCCAAAGCACTTCCCCCTCTGTTCTTTCCAGCAAGTCGGGGGGGGGGGGCCTCCTCCCCAAGCCTCCTCCTCCTCCTCCTCGTCCTCCTCATTCTTCCCACTTTTCTTTCCGGCAAGTTTGGGGCCGGGCCTCATTGGACCTCCTTCCCAACCCCTCCCTCTTCCTTCCAACGAGTTGAGGCCGGGCCTCCTTCCCAAGCCTTTCTCCTTTTGATTGGACTTCCTTCTCAAAGCACTTCCCCGCTTTCCTTACCAGCAAGTTGGGGCCGGGACCCTTCCCAAGCCCCCTCCCCCTCACCTTCCCAAAGTTGGGGCCGGGCCTCCTTCCCAAGCATCTTCCTTCTCATTGGACCTCCTTCCCAAAGCACTTGCTCCCTTTTGGTGCCAGGCCTCCTTCCCAAGCCGCCCCCTCCCCATTGGACCTCCTTCCCAAAGCACTTCCTCTCTTTTCTTTCTAGCAAGTTTGGGGTAGGGCCACCTTCCCAAGCCTCCTTCTCTGGGGCCGGGCCTCCTTCCCAAGTCCGTTCCTCCTCATTGGACCTCCTTCCCAAAGCACTTCCACCCATTTTCTTTTCAGCAAGTTGCGGCCGGGCCAATGGCCAGGCAGCGTGGTAACATCCACTGACCGTTGTTCTAAAATCTATCTGCAATTCGTCTGGCAACAAATCCTTTCGACAGGCCCGAACCCTGAGGCCAAGAATCAGGTGCCGCTGTTGGCCTTATCGCAGGCCGCCAAGCACTAGACGCCGCCTTGGTACATCTATTTGAGCAGGTCTTTCGGGGCATAGAATGCAACTCCAGAATTAACGAGCATATTGGAGTGCAGTTCAAAGTTCAAGCTTCTGAATCCATACTAAAGCCTCATGAGCACACACGAAAAGATGCACCTTCAATCCCAAGATATGATCTCTCAACGCTAGAGTACCGATTCGAAGATGCCCAACACTTGCAAAATCGCACAAAGCACGACTTGGAGCACTGAAAGCACAAGATCGCAAGGATTTTGCAAGCAGGATTCCCATGGGAGCACAGTGGTAATGAACCATTGCACCGATTCCCATGCGAGCACCCAAGTCTTATATCTCGGATTCAGTAATCGGCTGCAGTATCTCCCTCAAAAGAAAGAAAATCATGCCGATAGAGAATGGGAGGACTAGGCTTCGGGATCAAGCACAAGGTACAAGCTTTCGACAACCCATGGATCAAAAGGTTGACGCAACTCAACATCGAAAATCGAAAACCTGATCATAGTTGTGGAAAACCCGAAAACCGGCATGAGACCTGTGTGTGGAGGAAATTTGTGAACGGCCATGTGAAGCTCACGCCTGGCACTACTGCGGGAATTTCTGGCCCGTGCTGGCATAAGCATCTTAAGAACGAGAGCTGAGGAAAACCCTGGAGACGGAGTGGGTGATTGCATCAGCCTGGCAATCCTTGCGATGCCGGGGCGTGAAAACGGTGAAAAAACGAGCAAAGCCGACCAAAAACGCGTGACGGCTTTGTCGCGGCATCTTACGTGAGCCCCACTTGAGCCTTTGTATCGGCTTTGGAGCACTGTAGCTGCTGTAGCTGTTGCCGCTCTGCAAGGTGCCCATTTGAGTGCCATCCGCACATTGTACCAAGTGTCGCATTGCACAAAACACAACGTTGAACATGCTGTCCTTGAGCTTTGCTGTCGCCAGCCCAGGCAATCCTCTTCGGATGCACGCAAAAAACAAGGCTCCATATTCGGGGCACGAAGTCTCGGAAAGGCGGCCTCTGCCAATGCTATGCTGCCAATTTCAAGAGTTGGTGGCTCCCAGGTTAGTGCAGAGTCCTGTGCCTCAAAGTGTGCTTTGCATTTGCCGCAGTGGAACTGCTCGCAAGGCCTCCCTGGAACAAGAAACCCGCACGGAGTGTCAAGTTGCACATGCTTCCATGCAGCCTGTGTAAGCATGATGTAATACACAAGCGACGCTGCTGTGCCTCAACCCCCCAATCCTAAAGTCGAGCTTCGGAGCTCTATCGTTGGGCGGTAGGGTTTTTGTTTTTGAGTGCATGCAAGAGCAGCTTGTGAAAACAAGCACACTAGGTCGACGGCACTGGTGCTCGTCGGAGGCGGTGGAGGCGGTGGCTGCGGCGGCTGCCTGCTTGGGGCACCTGCTAGGCATTTGCTACGTCACAGACAAAAGGGCTTTAGGGCGACGGGAAGTTTGCTTGTTAGGGCTTTTCAGGGTTGGGGGCGGGTTTGAGGACTGGCTTCCAGCCGAAGACCTGGAACCTCCAAATTGAGCCCTCGAAACCCTTCTCCACGAAAACACCTCCTCAGAACAATGCCGGCACCTGGTTCAACAGCTTGCGCTTCGAGGAAGGCGGCTTGCTTCAGGAGGGCGCTAAGACCTTGACGTCTCAGTGCGGTTGTTCTGGGAGCGGAGTTTATGGCTTCAAGCATGATTCGCAGTGGGGCAAATGTGGTAAACAAGATTGAACTTAAGGCTTTCAACTGAGGTCCCTTGTTGAGGCCACGTTTGCAGCGCATCTGTGGTGTGAGTACTCAGATCTGGGTTGCAGTATGCAATCTTTGTCTTCTGGAAGGTATGTAGGTTGCATCGCGACCTATGAAATTCGTCAATGGCAGGTGCAGAGGATTCGGCAGACAATGGTACTGCACAGGGTTTGCTTGCGCAGGCATATATCGTTATTTCGGGAAACGCTTGCCTAGTGTGCACGTGTACTCTGCGTCTTGCAAAACCAATTTGCAAGACACAAATGTTGGACGTCTCGCCAAGCAGCTGTACAGAATCGAGGTTTTCTGGGTTAAGTGCTATGCTTCTTGGGGGGCGGCACGTCTGTTCCAGAATCGTCAAAACATATTGTATGAAAAGAGGCACAAAGCGCTGTGAATAGCAGTGCTTTGGGCATGTTCGCATAAGGCATGAACACCTGTGGCGGACCTCGTGTTGCAGAACATCACACATCCTTCTGCAACATGTTGTAGAAAGATGAAATTACCAGGGTCCTCGGCATGTTCCCAAATAGCATGATTGCTTCTGACAGTGAGTCTTGTTCCAGAAACGTCAAGCATCCATTCTGCAGCATAAAAGATGCAGAAATGCTGTCAGTGCCAGTGTTTTTGGCATGGTTAGAGTAACATGGTCACCCCTGCCCCCTCCCCCCTGTCGTTTGCGCCAAATGTGGGGGACGTACTCTCGATTTGGAAGGCTCTTGGGTTTGGTAAAAGGTCTAGGACATGCGTTTCAGTGCTTCGGGGCTTAAAACAGCATCGCAATGTCTTCAGGGCTGAGAGCTTAAGACACGCAGAAGGATGCGAGTTTCGGACCAGGCTGTGAACGACGTGCTTTCAGGGGATGTGCTTTCAGGAGACTTTTTTTCGCAGGACTGTCAGGAACTTCATCGGTCCGTGGTTCTGTTCTGGGTTCGGACCTAAGGCAAGGATTCAGCAGGTTGAAGCTGCATCAAGAATCTATCTCTTCACATGTAGCGAAAAAACAAACGAAACGCCTGCGGCGTGCGCACATCTGCGAACGTTCAACTTCGTATGCCGACTGCGTTAAATTAGGCCCAAAAAGGCTCACACACTGTAGGACTTAGGCAGAAGTGTTTGCCAAGCTACCCGATGCGAGGTCGATATTCTTGGTCTCCCAGAAGCCATTCTTCTTGCAGGAATAAACCTCAGGAACAAAACGCAAGAGCCTTACGCACCCCAAACCCTTTCAGGTCAACAGTTCAGGCTTCAGGCTTGGAAGGCGGGAGTCAATAACCATGCTGGCAAACTCAAACTTCACGGGATTTAGGTTTCATCAGGTGCTCGCAACCCAAATCCACCAATAGCACAGTCCTCAAGCCTGTTTGGTTTGAGTGCCTGTAAAACTGTGCGATCATTGAGTGTCCTGACTTTTGGGAGCTGAATTCGCAACGTCTTGTTTCAAGCTGGCTGTCATGACCTAGCTGCCAATGATAGTGACGTGCAGCCTCTTCCTCCATCTTTCTGCAAGTTTAAAACTACTGGAAAAGCATGGCTGCGGGAGAGCTTGGCCGACAATTCCTGCGACCATGGTGCTCTTCACATCTGAATCTAAAGTCACTCATGTCGGGATCCTTATGCTAGGAAGGCCCCCTGGGACGGTTTACTAGGCAATAATGGTTGGCAGCATGAGGAGCCCAAACCTCCCCAGTCTTTGGAGTCATTAGAAAGGGATTTCACGAAGAGAACGAGTGAAACGAATGATATTAGAAATGAACGAAGTGAGTGAACAAGTGAACGAATGTGGTGAATGAACGGGCGCCATCTTCGTTCCAGCGGTATTTACTCTTGCATCTCCCAGGCCCACAAATCTACTATTACTGAGCGCAGAGAACGTAATAAGTTCAAGCCGATCGCTGAACATCTAATGATGCCGCCCACAGGGGTGGGGGCGGCAAATCGCATGTCCTCCTTGGGGCTCTTGACCTTCTTTCACCCCCTTGTCCAGAGGACCGAGGCGGTCAAGGCGGTCTTGGGTCAAAACCGTCCCGTTCTTCACCCTTCTGACGACCTCCTCGACCCTTGTCAGAGAACAGAGGATCCAGGCGGTCAAGATAGTCAAGGGGTCAAGGCTGACCCTCTTGACCCTCTTGTCCAGAGGACCGAGGTAGCTATGGCGGTCAAGCGGGTCAAGACGGTCAAGGCGGGCAGGAGGGTCAACACGGCCATGACGGCCAAGACGGTCATGCAAGTTACCGCGCCCCCTATGCCGGTGCACTCGAACATCTTCCAGAATGACCAACGGCCCAACAGCCATCTCGAACCTCGAATGCTTGTTCTGCCAATTGAAGGCGCATGTACCGGCGTGTTCCAGTCTGAAAGCCTAAGCCCTGAGACCAGAAGGAACAGCATCCTTTGGCGAGCGGCAAAGCTGCGCAGACGTGTGAGCGAGTCGCTCACAGCTGGGTCATGGCCTTGGGCGGGGCTTAGGGTTGAGAACTTTATTAGAGGATACACAAAGTGCGAGGCTATGTCCTCGGCATTTTAGGATGCGGGGAACCTCCAGAGCCTCTGCCTCTGAATGCAGAAAGTGATTTGAAATTCCTCAAATCAGGATGTTGGGTCCAGGCTATGCAAACTAGGTAGTTCGTTGAGAGCTTGACGCAGGGTTGTTCCGAGGGCGATCGAGATTGGTGAAGGCTTCTAAGCGGGGCTCCGACTTTGAGGTTTTAGGGCCAGGACATCCCGCAGGAAAGCAGCCAAGACGCGAAATCTCCAACAGACCAGAAGCACTTGATCCTTGCTGGGACGTCCCACCCTCCTCGTTCCCGAGAAGCAGCGACCATTTTGCTGTGAAGAAACTATGACCTAAGCTGAAGCCCTCAAACTTATAAGTCCTCCAGCTCTAACGACAGAACCCTGGGACTCAAGAGCGCCATACAGCCCCAAACCCCAACTCTAGCGGAGAGCTTCATCCGTACTGTGCGCAGAACGACGTACGGCTCCTTCGTGAGGGGTCGAAGCACGGAGATCACCTGCAAGAAGCTTCAAGGAAGAGATGCCAGGCAACGGCATGCTCTGTCGCAAAAGTCTCAAGAACTTTTTGGGGGGAAGGCGGGTTATGGTGGAACCTTCTTCATTTGGAACTTTTGCTTTTTCGGCCTTTGGAGCTCAGGAGCCGGAATTTGTCGGCTTTGTGGATCGAGGCTGTTTGCGAAGTTGTGCGCGCAGTTTCCAATCTTTCCAAACCTCCTTCGCGTCCATGCGAAACTCCGCGGCAAAAGCCTCCTGAGGTCAGTGGCAAAGGTGAGAAGAAAAGAAACGCACACACACACACACACACACAAACTATATGACACTATATGACACTATATGACACTATATGACACTATATGACACTATATGACACAAAATGAGACTAACTACTTCAAAGCGAAAACCACGGAAGACGGGGATGGCGAACACAAGCCGACACAGCCCTCGGAGCTTCAAAACTTCAAGGCGTCAAAGTTCTTCTGGTCAATCCTGACTAAACTACGGGAAAATTCTGAAGTACTGTACAACATGGTAAAAACACCAACAACACTAAAAGCCCTAGGGCCTAGGGGCCTACAGCCTACAAGTACAGGCTACAAGTCTGGGCCCTTCTATGCTGAAGCCCGAAGGCCCTCAGATGATGCCAAAGCCACGAAGGCCTGGCAGACCTCACAGTAAACACTGATTCGCCGTCTTAACAAAATCTTAACAAAATCAGTGTTGCAATCCAAAGTGCCACGAGGTAGATCAGACGCACGCTGTTGTAGCACTCATCCTCTGGGCAGCAAAGAGTAGAAAGGCAATTCTATCATTCCGATGCAGGCCAGGATTTCAGCGGGAGTGTTTTTGTACATGGGAGACAGATTTTTAGGCTCGGGGTTGCAAGGTTGGCTGAGTGATTGGACGTGCTAGGCTTTTGGGTGCAGGGCTGGTGCGCGATGCTTTGGGACGCACTTGCAAGGGTTACTTGGACAAGGTCGGCTTTTAGCAGGAGTCTAAATTCGTTGATGGGAGCGTTGTAGCTCCGTGGTCTTTGAAGTAGTGGATGGGTGATGTCCCGACCCCCACCCACGTGTTTGCGGATACACATCATCACCAATATTAGTGGCAACTAAACCAAATTCACCATTACACTGGCAAGCTCCGATCCTCAAGCCATCAACCGGTCCTTCCAGCCATTTTCGAGATCACTCCGTCCTCTGCTCCAGGTTGCGATCGCAGTGGCAGTCTAAGAAGCATATCAGTCATTCATTCATTCATTCCTTCATTCGTTTTGGCCAAAGGCGCACATGGCTTTGAAGCCCAGCCCAGGCATGGATGCACAGCTGATGCGGAAAACCCTATGGACATCTTGCCAGATCATGCCCGCAATCAAATCCTCACTCCACTTTCTGATCCGGACATCAAGCCTCTGCCGTCTGATGGAGAAGTTGGCGGGGGTGTTGCGCTGCTGCCTCCTGCTTCTTGTGCAGGCCCGCGGGGTTCCAGGTTGAAGTGTTGGGGCTTGTGGCTGGGGCTGTGTTATGCTGTGTGAACCTTTGACTTTGATGAGGCCCCAGCTTGCGAAAATAACTTGGCCTCCATTTAGCAGAACCTAGCAATGCGCTTCATTTTAGGCGGGGCCCCAGAGCACTAATTAAGATCAAGCGCTTCTGGTCTGAGCGTGTACAGAGGGCTTCGAAGGCGTCATTAAAGCCACATGTTTGGAGGCAAGCAATGATGCATCCCTTGTCCATTCCAACGTTTTGGATTTGCTAAGATCAGATCTGGCCATCTTAGCATTCATCCATCGCACACAATGCTGGAATTCAGTCGTGTAAAGTTGGGTCTGCCATCAGCTAACAGCAGCTCCGACAAAAACCTGGAAAGTGTCGGAATCGGGCAAGCGCTCTTCCCAAACCTCTGTGCCAGCTCGCAATGACAAAACTGAGATTCAATACTGCCGCTACTCTGAACTTCGAAGGCCAGAACCTGAAAGGCCCCCGAAGACACAGATTTGTTCACAAGCCGGCCTAGTACGGACAAGGCTTCTGCCCAGTGCACTTCATCCCGCGTCTGGACAAGTTCACAGGTCAGCAGCGCTTGTGTGTCTTGAGGCTCCAGTTTGGGCTAAGCTAAGCCCAAGGTCTTGGGAGATGAGTTCGATCAACCATGCGTGTATGCTATAACCTTGGACGCACTCGGCTTTTCCAGCCTCGCTGATATCAACGCTGTCTTTCAGTCTCAGCTCTAGACCTACTTTCCTCGCTTCTGAAATGACTAAACATCCAAAGCCAAACCTTCAAAAAACATACTTCGGATCCAAACCCCACCCCATTCATAATGTTCATAACCCTATGAGTACAAAACCGAGTATCTGGAAATTCTCAATACCGGAAACCGCTAGTTTGCTAGTTGAGGGTATAGAGGCTCAAGGTTCCATGTCCAGGCTTCTGGTATTAAGCATTTTGCTTCGGATTGTCTCCTCAATCCTCAACCCGGAGCTCCCGAACGACCCTGTTTCGTGTTAGGCGCATGGTAGCGGTAGTGGATTTGTGGAGTATGTCTTGCAAGCCTTGGAAATGAAATGCTTATCATACCTGATGCTGACCTTTGTCATTTAGCTCACCCAAACCACGATGGCCTGGCCCACACGGGCCCCGATGGAGCGAATCTCCACGTGACGGCCTCCCGAAGGGGCTTGGTGTTAAAGAGATCGAAGATCTAGCAAGGTAAGGCCCCTTTGCGGCTGTTTCTGCTTTGCTGGTTATCAGGTTGATTGTCTAGGAACTGAACGCAAGGTCTTCCATGAAGGAATGACCACCTTGCTACAGCAGGCGGTCTGCTTGCACAAGCCACCAAGCCATGTCCCGCATGCTCTCAATTGACTGAGCTCCATTGACATGGACTGCAGAACCGAACTTTAACTTTGGCCGACATCTACTTTGTGATTTGCAATTGAAAAGACGCTGAAAAACGAAACTCTAATCACTACGCCCACCCAATACACTGCACATACCCATGCATTCGGCACTTGGATTTCGCGCGCTTTCGCTGGGGCAGAGCAAGAACGCGGCAACCCTGATGCCCTAGGTTACTGCGAAACTAATCCATGCCACTCAAAGTTGCGGAACTTTGAAGGCTTCGCCTGTTTGGTCTACCTATACTTCCAAGGTGCCCCCGGCAGACGCAACCCACTTCCTCTATCTTCAGCTAACTTTCTTTCTTTGGTCCGTGCTAAAAGTCAGCTATAGTCAGCTCAAAGGCCCATGGTTTGCCTCTGGGTCTCGACCCAATCCCACAGAGCTCCGGCCAAAAGTTCGATTTTTGGGGACAAACGCTCGTGCTTTTTGGGCTGTCCAAGGTAACCATGTCCAACACAGCGAGCCTTCGCAGGAAGTGGTAAAACGTTCTCTGAGTTTCCTGAAGGTGGCGTGGTTGCGTTGGGGGCCCAAAGGTCAGTGGACAATAATGACGTCACAGCTCTGCAACGAACATGTGCAAGTCAAAGGGCTCGGCCTTGAGCCTCAAAGCCCTGAAGCACTTAAAGCCCTACTGTTAGTCATGAGGTCGTGCACAGGTTTCGGGAGTTTAGGGTTTCAGCTGACAAGCGCTGCACGCCCTCACCAAAACCTGAAATTCACAACTTTTGAATTTCAAGCATGCTAAGCTCTGGTCCTACTGCCCTAGCATGCCAAACTTTGCAACCGTATGCAACCTTATATAAGCCCTGAAGCCCCAGCCATTGCAACTCTAGACCCCAACCCGTCGACCTCTTCAAGGCTTTGACATGTAAAATGCTTCGAGATTCAGGCGGTCGTCGGCGCTCACTGCGCGAACCTGCATGCAGAGCAAGCGTGCGATTGGCTGCAATATGTTGCATATGTTGCAGTGTTTTGCCGCGTTTACAGGGTTGGGACGGTGAGGCCGCTTGGGATGTTGTTGATTCTCGGCAATGCCTTCGCAGACTGTTTGCATCAGTTTGCAGACAGTAGGCGCCATTCAGGGCTCATGCTTTGGGAGTTTTTTCCGGCACAGGCAGGCCGAGGACGAGGCTGCTAGGGTGCCCCCTTCCGTCCACTGATTGAGACCTGCCATGTCCTGCACTGCTACAACTCGCCTGGGTCACAACAACTCATTTGTTGAATTGTTGAAGCTTTGCGCGTATGCGTGAAGCAGAGGATGGTTTGGATGCTTACTTTGATATGGATGTTGTGGGCTGACTGATGCGATCGCAGAGTATACAAGAACAAAGGGCTTGCCTCTGAGCGTGCTACCTGTTTGTGCTGGCCATCTCCTCTGAGGACATAGCAAAGTTAAGGGTGAGATCAGATGAACCGGTTCTACGTCTGCACATCCAGGCTCAACAAAGAACAAAGTTGGCAGGCCGCCATTGCACGGAGCCAGTCAAGGAGGTGGTCTGGATGGGATCACCTGCCTTGAACTCATGGCTTCCGTAGGCAGTTCGAAAGGGTCAGGGCATGTCAGGGCTCTGACCAGCGCTACATAGCGCTACAGAGTGACCCACGTGGCAACTGTGAAGAAGCTGCCACGAGACTGCTGCCGGAATGGAAGTGGCTGTAGTTACTTGCTGTTGCGCCCTGGAGCGCTACAGGGTGACGACTTATGTCGCCTCACCGCGGCAAGGTCATTGTGACTACGTGCTGCATGCATGCACTTAAGGCACCCAGAACGGGCCGAATGGGCTTGGGCCCTCTTCCTTCCTGATTGGTCAGGACGAGAGAACGTAGGGTCCCCATTTTTCAATCACAGAGCAGATCAAAAACACGAATGGCAGATGCGAATTCGCAAGCGATGACCAACATCAAAACAATCACAGGAAAAGCGCTACTGCCTCTGCAGGCTCTCTCTCCCTCTCTCTCGCGCGCGCCTTCTCGTTCATGCTTGGGGCTGTATCGGTTCGAATTGATTCATATTTCTTGCGGGGGTCTGAAAGGCATGCCCTACGCGCCGGAAACTAAAGGCCCTGAAGTCTTACGGAGTCTTTGCGGCCTGCTGGCGTGGATGGGTTTGAGCCCGCAGCTCCAGCTGGACAAGTTGGGCTTCCCACTGCATACAACGTTTAGCTGTGCAAGTTGAGTGTTTTACTGCATGTGCAAGGCCCAAAACTGGTACGGACCTGGAAGTGAGTAGCAAACAGCGGCAACAGTCGACGGCAAGACTGCTCAAGAAGAATGTACTTCAGCACTAAACCTTAAAGATTCTTCCTTTGGGGATAACCCTTGGCT